CGGTCCAACAACTCGCGGGTTCGATTATTTCCACGGCTTCCACCATGCCCGCAATATGCAGGCCGTGATCGAAGACGACACAGTGATCGAACACGACGCGGAGATTCACATGCTCCCGCGACTCGCGAAGAAGGCCGTCGACTACATCGATGCTCGTAGTGAAACCGCGCAACCCTTTTTCCTTTATCTCCCACTCTGTTCGCCGCACACCCCAATTCTTCCATCGCCGGAGTGGCAGGGTAAAAGTGGGCTGGGCGACTACGGCGACTATGTCATGCAGACCGATGCCGTGGTGGGTGAAGTAACGGAGGCGCTCACACGAAACGGCATGACGGACAACACACTGGTCATCCTCACCAGCGACAACGGATGTTCCCGCGCCGCCGGAATCGAGGAGCTTGCCAAACAGGGGCACTACGTGAGCGCCCATTTGCGTGGTTCAAAAGCTGACATTTGGGACGGCGGACATCGCGTGCCGTTCATCGTTCGCTGGCCGGCACGAGTTGCCCCGGGTTCTACCTGCAACCAACTCATCTGCCTGACCGACTTCTTCGCCACGGCGGCCGAGATCGTCAACCGACCCACGCCGCCCGAGAGTTGCGAAGACAGCGTGAGTTTCTTACCGGGCTTACACGGTGAATCCATCACCTCCACCCGAAACGGCGTGATCCATCATTCCGTCAGCGGTCACTTCGCCTACCGCCAAGGTCCCTGGAAGTTGGTTCTCGCCCGCGGCTCTGGCGGTTGGTCTTCCCCCACCGAGGCCGAAGTTTCGGCCGACGCCCCCGAGGCACAGCTCTACGACATGCAGGCCGACCCGGGTGAGACGACCAACCTTTACACCTCCCGTCCGGAGGTTGTTCAACAGCTGGTCAGCCTGCTCGAGAAAGACATCGCCCAGGGACGTAGCACGACCGGCCCACCGGCCGAGAACGACGTCGAGCGGATTGTGCTCTGGAAGAGTGCGCCAGAACGCCACAGACGGGTGCGAAAAAAGGCCGGAAACTGAGCGGCGTCGCTCAGGACCGTACCCCCAAGGTATACAATTCCGGCCCTAATCCCGGGCTACGAGCTTTTCTGCCGGGAAAGGGGCAAAAATCTCCATTTCTAGGGGCTGCTACGCCTGGAGGCAGCTAGCCTTGTACTGTAGTTTTGCAGGCTGTCGTCGAACAATGGTCGTGCTTTCCCGCGGAAGAGGTCTTTTCATGCGTTTTGTCGAGGCGAATAGGGCACGGTTGCGTCTGGTTGTTCTGGCGATGCTCGTTACGTTGTGGCCACAGACCTTACTTATGGCCGCCGAGAAAGACGACTCGCTGAACTACCTCGTTGGCCGTAGCCGTACCGACGTGACGGGACCGGTTGTGGGTGTGCAAATGCTCGGCTTTGTCCGGCCCGATCAAATCACCGAGGGGATTCACCTCCGCCAATACTGCCGCACCTTTGTCATCGTCGACCCCCAGACTGATCATCGTCTGGCTCTCTCGGTGGTCGACATGCTTAGCGTCACCCACGAGTTGTGGCAGGAAGTGCTCGACCGGCTTCACGACAAGTACGGCGATCTTTACCGCCGCGATAACTTTGTACTCACCGCGACTCACACCCACTCGGGCCCTGGCGGTTTTTGGCACTACACGGCAAACACCCCCGTCGGTGCTCCGTTCTACGGTGATTTCTTCGACGCCCTGGTAGATTCCATTGTGGATTCCGTCGTGCAGGCCCACGAAGACCTGCGTCCGGCAAAGATTCTGGTCGCGCGTGGCTCGGTTGCGAATGCTTCGGCCCAACGCTCGAAGCCGGCCTACATGAACAATCCCGAGGAAGAGCGTTCGCGGTACGAGGACGATGTCGATCGTGAAATGACTTTGCTGAAGTTCGTCGACGCAAACGGTCCCATCGGGGCGGTCGACTACTTCGCCGTGCACCCGACCACGATGACTTTCTACAACCACCTGATCTCCAGCGACAACAAAGGTGTCGCTGCCATCGGGCTTGAGGAACATTACGGTGGGGAAATGCCCGAGGGTGAGGTGTTCGTGGCCGCATTCCCCAACAGCAATTGTGGCGATGTGACGGGCAACCTCAACCTCGACAATACCGGCCCGGGCGAAGATGAATTCGAAACCACTCAAATCATCGGGCAACGTCAACTCGACGAGGCGATCAAGCTCTTCGATACGGCCCACGAACGAGTCGTCGGCCCGATCAACACTCGCCAACAGTTTGTTGACTTTTCGAGTCTCGAAGTCGATGGCGAGTTCACAGGCCAGGGTTCTCAAACCACCTCTCCCGCGGCCTTCGGCTATGCATTCGCCGCCGGGTCGACCGAAGACGGCGGAGGACACCCACTGTTCCGCGAGGGGATGACGCGCTCCAGCCGCTTGTTGGACAATATTGCCCGCAGCCTGATGCACGCCGCACCGCTGAGTCACGCAATTCGTGATGACCATCGCCCCAAGGCAATCCTTTTTGCCCCCGGCGAAATGACCCCGCCCGCGTACGCGCAGGTTCTGTCGTTGGGGGTCGCCCAACTCGGGCAGATGGCTTTCGTCTACGGTCCGGCCGAGTTCACCACCATGACTGGGCGGCGGATTCGCGAGCAAGTGGCCGAAGTCTTAGACCTTCCTTCTCGCGACGTGATCATTGCCGGGTTCTCCAACGGATACTCAGGCTATGTCACCACCAACGAAGAGTATCAAACCCAACAGTACGAAGGTGGTCATACCGTCTTCGGCCCCTGGACCGAGGCTGGCTACCGTCAGCAATACACCCGCATGGCTCAGGCCATAGCAGCCGGCGAGCAAGTCGACGCTGGGCCGGCTCCCCGCGAAATGCGTGGCACCATCGAAGCGGCTACTCTGGGCACATCCCACGACCTTCCGCCCGAAGCTGCCGAATTCGGCGATGTGGCGCAAGACACTGATGATAAGTATACGGGCGGCAACGTGGTTCAAGTTGCCTTCTGGACCGGCAACCCGTTGAACTATTCTCCGTCTGGCGGAAGTTTTCTCAGTGTGGAAAAGCAAGACGGTGACCAATGGGTCGAGGTAGCCGACGATAGTACCTGGTCGACCAGGTGCCGTTGGACACAACCATCAGATGAAACGTCTGCCGAGGCCGATAAGCCCGCCGCTAAGAAGAAGTCGCCCCTGCCCGACAAGAGCTCGCTTGCGAAGCAGGCCAACCTCGACGCCTATCAAGTCTGGATCGAGTGGGCCATCCCTTCGGATGCTCCCGCCGGCACCTACCGCATTGTGCATTATGGGGCTTTCAAGCCCGAGGGGGCTAGCGAACCGACCGCATTCGACGCTGCTTCCAAGTCGTTCACGGTTGAGTAGCCGACGAACGATTGCAGATCGGCAGAGCGAAGCGACTCACAGCAGCGGCGATAACAACTGCGCCACACCCTGAAACACCCGCCGCGCACTGCTTCGCTGGTTCCAAACTTCTGCCGTGAGTTGTCGGCTGTTACGGATGTATTCGTCTTGCTGCTCTCGCAGCGGAACCGTGACTTCTTCACCGTACAGAATCAGGCTCAGTTCGAAGTTGATGGCGAACGAGCGTGAATCGAAATTACTCGTGCCGAACAGGGCGGCCGAGTCATCGACCGAGAGGGTCTTGGCGTGTAGCAGGCCCGAGGTGTAGTGGTAGATGTTGATGCCTGCGTCGAGAAGTTCTTCGTAGTAAGAACCCGCCACGGCGTCGAGCAACACCTTGTCGCCCTTCTCGGGAAGAACCAGATCGACCTGCACGCCTCGCAGCACAGCCAGTTGCAGTCCCTGGATCAGTGCATCGTCGGGAACAAAATATGGCGTGGTGATGACGATCCGGCGTTGGGCGGCATGGATCGCTACCAAGGCCATCCGCTGGTAGTTGGCCGTTTTATAGACCGGTCCGCTGGGCAGGGTTTGAATCGGAATGTTCCCGCAACGCTTGGGGTCGGGGTACAACTCTTCCGCGTCGAGCATCTCTTCGGCTTCGTAAAACCAGTCGGAAGCGAACACGGCCTGAAGCTCCAGCACAATCGGTCCACAAATGCGGGCCGAGAGATCGTGCCACTCGAGATTCGCATGTCCGTACGAGGGATCGACGATGTTATGCGACCCGGTGTAGGAAACATGTCCGTCGATAACGGCGAGCTTGCGGTGGTTGCGCAGATCGATTCGCGAAACCCCGCTGCGAAGGAAACCCAGCGGCAGCATGTTGTGAATTTGAACGCCGTTTCGCCTCATCTCAGGGCCCAGGCGGCGAAACAGCTTCCGCGAGCCTGCTGCGTCGGCCAGCACCCGACATGTCACGCCTCGCGCAGCTGCCCGAGTGAGCGCCTCGGCCACACGTCGCCCTACTGCATCATCGACGAAGATGAAGTACAGCAAATGCACATGATGTTGGGCGGCATCGATATCACCCACCAGCCGGTCGATGAAACCCTCGGTTTCCGGCAGATACTCGACCGAGTTGCCTTCCAGGATCGGCATCTCGCACAATCGCTCGGCAATCCGTACGGCCATCGCGCCGGCCTCGGGCAGCTCCGGGCTCACTACATGGGGATGGTCGTCAAACCGGGCCCCAATCTCCCGCATGCGTTCGCGCCACAATTCGAGCTTCTTCACGCGATGCTTGGCCAGCCACACTTCGCCGAAAAGCCAGTACATGATCATGCCCGGCCAGGGCAGAAAGAAGATGACCATCAACCACGACATGGCAGAAGGGCCGTGCTTCCGACGCACGACGATGATCAGCATCACGATCCGAATAACCCACTCGCTGATGTAATAGATTTCGGCGATCGACATTGAATGAAGGTGCTACACAAATAGATGGAGACGGCGAGCGGTGACGCAGGTTGGATAGAATCTTAGCGGTATCCATCTTTCGTTTCACGTCGAATTCTGAAAAGCGGGATCGGTGGCATATCGACCTGCCAATGAAAAAAACCGTGGTGCGCCACACAAAGCAGCACACCACGGTTTGATTGCTTCTCGAATCGCCTAGACCTATCTCTATTCGTCCGACTGCGAATCGTCCTGTTCTTCTGCGAGTTCTTTCTCAAGTTTCTCCAAGCGTTCATTTAACCGCTGGAGACGTCGTTCTAAGGCGTCTTCGCCTCGCTCGACCGTGCGATTCACCTGATCTTCAAGCCGTCGCAAGGCAGGCACTCGGATCTCACCCTCACCCTTGGGCGGGCTGATCGCGATGCGACCGGTCGGCAAGTAGCCCAACGCTTGTCGCACGTAGGGGCGAACTTCGGCGGGAAGGGCCGAGAGATCTTCCTCGCTCAGCTCCCACACCTGGTCGTCACGCTTCACGACGATGCGAGCCGGCTGGGCTCCTTCGTGCGTGACGGTGATCGACATGTTCTCGGGCAATTCAAAGCTCTGGGCGAGTTCCTGCACGATCGCCCCGGGGCGGGGGATGCTCAGCCGGAGCGATTCACCTTCGGCCTGCAGGCGGTTGATCAGGGCGTTGGCTTCTTCGGTGAGTTGTTCGGTCAGGCCTTCCGGTCGCTTGGCAGGCTCGACTTCAACCTCAACCGGCTCGCCCTTGCGAAGTAGTTCTACCGACAATACGCCTTCCTCTTCGGAGGAAACGTCGATCGCATCGACCAGGTCGCCCACGTTAGAGAGCATCGTAGCGCCTGCTTCGTAGAGTACATCGTGAACTTCAATGCCGGCCGCGGCTGCAGGGCCATCGGGGGCGACGGCGACTACCAGCAGACCTTCGCCTTCAGGCAGGTCGAGCTGTGATCGCATAGCATCGCTAATCGGTACGCAAGTAACCCCCAACCAATAAGGGCTGGGATTCTGCACACTCTCCACGGTGCCTTCGAGGTACCTTCGCAACTCGCCGGCTGTGTCACTCTGCAGGGCCTGGTTGATCATCTGCCGCAACTGACCCACGGCGTCGGGCTCGGAATCAGGTTTGTCTTGGGCTTGCACCCACGCTCCGGTCATCAATACCAGTGTGGCCACACCGACTTGGGCGAACCACGCTTTCCACGTTTGCTTTTGCATCTTTACCTTCCTTCTCGGTTAGAACCATTGCCTTATACAAGGCACTTCGGTGTGCGCTAAACACACCTACTGATACATAGTGTTCCCCACGTAACGCAGTTCGACTCGATCGATCGGCACAATACCGTGCCGCCCATCTTCCAAGCGAACCGGAAACAACTCCCGGACCACGTTCACTTCGTGACCCAGTTGTTGGATTTGCTGAACCATGTCGTCTGAGAGTGCAGATGGCTGACTGTACAGCCACTGCAGGTCGACTTCATCGCCCTCGGCCATGGGCCACTCCAGCGGCGTTTCGCTTTCGGTATCGTGCATCGCCAAGGCAACGTTACGCCACACGGGTAGCCGCTGCTGTGGAGCCTCGGCGTTTGGTTGTTCGTTTGCGGGAGTGTCGGATTCCGCGGGCGCTTCCTCCGCTACCGAAGGTGATTCGGGAGTCTGCTCAGCGATTTGGACTTCTTCGCTCGGTGCTTCGTTAGTCGGCGTCGCATCGACTATTGCCGGCGCCGTGGCGTTGTCGTTCGAGTGTCCGGTGCCGCGAAGGACCAATCCTAGTGTTAAGCCCACCATTACACTGGCGGCTATTGAGAGTACTCTTCCGAGTGAGAGCATTGAGCCCTCGCGCGGCGACTCGAAAGCAACGCTGATAGAACCCGTCGACTCAGCCAGATCTTCTGTAGGCAGCTTGGGCAGTACGCGCTGCAATTCCTGCGCTTCAAGAAAGGTCAACGCGCAACGCCGCCAACCGTCGGGCGTGGTGTCGAGGCTTTCGAGCAACGTTTGACGTTCGTGCTCGGACAACTCGCCGTCGACCAGTCGATCGATCAGGCGTTGGTTGTCGTTGGATTCGAATTCGTGGGAGTCGTTCATGGTCCAACCTCAATCACGTCGAGGGATGCCAGTTGAGTTCGCATTCGTTGTCGGGCCCGATGCAGCCGGGCTTCAACCGCGCTGTTAGTCATGCCCAAGTGGTCGGCAATCTGTCGATACGACCAATCCTCGGTGTATTTCAGCAGCAGAAGTTCTTTGTCTCGCGGCGACAGTTGTTCCAAAGCTTTGCGAATGGTTTGCCGTCGTTCGTCTGAAAGCAACCAAACCAACGGGTCGGCTGTGGGTGCCTCTGCGGTGATATCGTTTCGTTGGAAGTAGCGATCGACCAGCTTGCGCTGTCGCCCTTTGCGACGTCGATACAGCAGCGACTGCAATACGGCCAAGCGATACAGCCAGGGCCGCACTTTGGTCGGGTCGTTCAACGGTCGGCGTTGTGCGACGGCGGCCAGGGCCACTTCCTGCATCACTTCATCGATCGCAGCCCGTTCGCCACAGCGGGCGAAGACCACGGTGCGCAGCCAACGATCGTGTTGCTTGAGTTCTGCTGCCCAATCGATCTTCGGCGAGTCGCTTTGTTCCATCGTGGGCCTGTGCTGGGGCATCCGTCGTTTGCTGTGAGGATAGTTACCGCCGTGGGGGGCAATCTTGCAAAGATTTTTGTCGAAAACACTGGCTGTGTGGACCGAGGGGGCGGTGGTTGTGACGTAAGCTGTTTCCTGGAATGCACTTGCCCCTTGCGGTTGCCGGCCGGCTATTTAAAATTTGGCACACAGTCGAAGCCGGTTTCCCGGGCTGCGCTTTCCGATAGCTACTTCCGCGAGATCTGAGACCAGTTTATGCCATCTGCCAAACAGCGAATGTGGTTGCTGAAGACAGAGCCGACCAGCTTTTCGATTCAGGACCTGGCCAAAAGCCCTCGCAAGACCACCTGTTGGGACGGGGTTCGCAACTATCAAGCCCGCAACTTCATGCGAGACGATATGCAGGAGGGCGATCGGGTTTTGTTCTACCATTCCAATGCGAACCCGCCGGCGATTGTGGGTACGGCCGTGGTTGTACGCGAGGCCTATCCCGACCACACTGCGTGGGACAAGAACGATCATCACTACGACCCTAAGGCCTCGCCCGAGAACCCCATCTGGCAGATGGTCGACATTCGGCTTGATACGATATTCGATGAGCCACTGCCCCTGGAAGAACTCCGCAAGGTGTCGGCCCTGAAAGATATGGAGTTGCTGAGGAAAGGCTCTCGACTTTCAGTACAGCCGGTGAAGCCGAAGGAGTTTCAGGCTGTGTTGAGTCTGGCTGAGAAGTCGAGCACGGTGGGGGTTAGCAGCGCGAAGACCAAAGCCGTGCGGAAGAAGAAATAAACGCAAGGTCGCGACTAGACCAGCATTCTGAAGATGGCGGGATCCCTCGTGAGTTCAACCAACGTTCAGGCACGTTCTGCACTCGATTGGATCGACGAGGCGTTGGTCGAACTCGACGCCGCGCAGTTGCTACGCCGCTTACGAATCAATGAACGGTTGGGGCCCGTCCGCTGCCGCATTGATGGTCGGGAACTGATTGATTTTGGTTCCAACGATTACCTCGGCCTGGCGGCAGAGCCGCGGGTGATTGAAGCCGCCGGAGCGAATCATGCGCACTGGGGTTCGGCCGCAAGTCCGCTGGTGGGCGGGCATACTCCTTCGCACGAACGGTTGGCTCGAAAGTTGGCCGAGTTCGAAGGGACGGAAGCCGCGCTGGTGTTTGCGTCCGGCTATGCGGCGAATGTGGGCGCGATTACATCGCTTGTTGGCAAGGGCGATGTGATCTACAGCGACGAACTCAACCATGCCAGTATCATCGACGGTTGTCGCTTGTCCCGGGCAGCGATTCGCCCCTATCCGCACGGCAACGCCACCGCGCTTGCCGAGTTGATGGCCGACGACTCAGTCACTGGCCGGCGGCTGATTGTGACCGACAGCCTGTTCAGCATGGACGGCGATGCGGCTCCCCTGGTCGAACTTGCAGAGTTGGCAGATAAGCACGGCGCGATGTTGATGGTCGACGAGGCTCACGCCACGGGCGTGTTCGGCCGCACGGGACGTGGCTTGTGCGAAGAACTTGCGATCGAAGATCGGGTTCACATTCGTGTGGGTACGCTTAGCAAGGCGCTCGGTTCCGTCGGCGGATTTGTCTCTGGCCGGCGTTCGCTCATCGATTGGTTGATCAATCGGGCCCGACCTTATGTGTTCTCGACCGCTCATCCGGCGGCTGCCTGCGAGGCTGCGGAAGAAGCATTGTCCATCCTGATGGCACAACCGGAACGTGGGCACGAATTGCAAGCGCGTGCTGCCAAGTTGCGAGAAAAGCTATACTCTCAAGGCTGGAACCTCGGGCCTTCGAGCAGCCAGGTGATTCCCCTGATTGTGGGCGGGGCCGAAACGGCGTTGGAACTTTCGCAAGCGTTATTCCAACAGGGCTTCTTCGTGCCGGCGATCCGCCCGCCGTCGGTACCGGTTGGGGAATCGAGGTTGAGGATTAGTCTGAGTTGGGCACATACACCAGACATGATCGAAGCGTTCAGTAAGTCACTTTCCGAACTACGCAGGAGAACACAGTGATGGCGGACCACTCTCACGACCTGGTCGTGTTGACCACAGCCTCGAATGAAGGCGATGCGAAGCTGATCACCGAGGTGCTCGAGGAAGAGGGCATTCACGCCACGGTCGATGGCGAGTTCGCCTCCGGGTTTTTGGCCGACGCGCCGATGACTGTGCGGGTGCTGGTTCAGAAAGATGATGAAGCGAAGGCCAAAGAGACGCTGCAGCGAATTCGGGATGAGGATGACCGAATCGACTGGTCGAAAGTCGATGTGGGCGAACCAGAGGATTGAGCCGGGGTTACGTCAGAATCGAACGCATTCGTTTTGATTCTGCCGGGTGCGAGACGTACGATTCCCTTGGGTCTTCATGCCTTCTGGAGAATCGACGGATGACTGATCACACTGATGATTTGGTGGTACTGACCACGACGCTGACCGAAGCCGAAGGGGCGATCATCGCCGGGGCTTTGGAGGCCGAAGGGATTCAAACGATTGCCGACGGTGGATTCGTCTCGGGCTTCAAAGCCGAGGCACCCGGTCGGGTTCGCGTGGTGGTGCGGCAGGCCGATGCGGCCCGTGCCCAAGAAACGCTTCGGCGCATTCGCGAACACGAGGACGCAGTCGATTGGTCGAAGGTCGATGTGGGCGAGCCAGAGGGTGAATGACGAATTCTCGGTTAGCCATCCAGTCGAATGACTTTACCTGAGGCCGCCGATTGATAGGCGGCTGATAGGATCTCCGTCGTTTGGGCCGCTTCGATGGCCGACAGCTCGCTGGTGTGACCGTTCTCGACACAGTCGAGGAAGTAGGTCACGTCGGCCTTCGTGATGTTACCGGTTTCCACGGTCCAAGTCTGTTTGGGTTCGGCGGCGAAAGGGCTCTCGGGCGGAGTGACCCACATGCCCATCGGATCGTCGGGATTGATCTTCGGCGGTTGCCAGTTCACGTTGGCCGTCCACATCTCAACCCGAGGGCGGTAGAGGTCCACGACAGCAGCTCCTTCCGTTCCCACCAGGTAGGTGCGATTCATTCCCGAGTTGGGGTGCGATGTCCAGCCGGTTCTGCCGACCGAGATGGAGGCCGTGAGCCCCTCGTTCATTTCAATCAGCACCTGCCCGAAGTCTTCCATGTCGTTGTGTTGATGTTCAGCGAAAAAGTAGTTGCCGGTGCTGGCGAACACACTGGTTGCCTGTAGACCCGTCAGCCAGGTGAGCATCGCCAAAGGGTAGACGCCGATGTTGGTGAGTTCACGTTTCGAGTTAGGCAGTTCAAACAATTCGGGGGCGGGGCTTTCCTTTCTTGGCGTTCCGAGTTGGGCCGTGCCATTGGTGCCCTTGGCGAAGGTGAGATCGAAGTGGGCGGCGATGAGCGTGCCCAATCGACCGGAGTCCAGCAGATGCCGCAGCCGCTCGGCCAGCGGAGATAGGATGAAGCTGAACATATGACTGATCACGGCGGACTCTTGCACCGCCTCGACGATGGCGGCCGCATCGTCCAACGAACCGGCGAGTGGTTTGTCGAGGTACAAGTGTTTGCCTGCCTGGGCAGCTTTGACGATGATCGGCCCGCGGCGCGAGGGTTCGGCGCAAATGCTGACGATGTGTACGTCGTCTCTGGCGAGGGTTTCTTCCAGGTTGTCGAGCAACGGGAACTTCAACTGCTCGGCATAGCGGGCGTTCAACTCTTGCCTTCGCTTGGGAACGCCGGCCTCATCGACTAACCCGATCAACTTGCACCGCGGGTCGGCGGCCAACGCGGGGGCGTACATCGGTTGATGGGTGAAGTCGCCCGCGACTAAGAGCACTCCGTACGGAGGAGACTGCGATTTCCAGTGAATGGGGGTTTCGTTACTGGACTTCAGACGCGCTTGCGGTTTGATTTGCTCGGGTGGCGAGTTGCTACCGTCGGCGTTCACGACCGTGCCTGAGGCACTAGCTTGTGCGACGGCCTTCAGGAGGGCATTCGCTTCAGTTGAGTTGGGTGCGTCGGGCGGCGTGCTGATGTCGATGAAATGGGCGTCCGTAGCTTCGCTCGAAAGCATGCCGCGGCTGCCGGTGATGACGGTTTCCAGAATGGGTGGGCCGGCCCCGCAAGAGCCTACCGAGACCAGCGCCGTGCCACCGGAGGTGAATCGCAACAGCGCGGTTAGCTCTCCGCGTTGGATACTGCCAACAGCCGAGACCGACTCCCACGGTGAGCCAAGCCATTTACATGCTTGAACCAACGCAGCCTGGGCTAAGGCTTCCAGCCAGCCATGGTCCTGAGCGATATGGGCCACGATGCGAACGGCCACTGGTTGCCCGATCCTTTCCGTGGCCAGAGCTTGGTTCACGCGGTTGATTGCCGCATCGAACGTATTCATGTCGTGCTATTCTCTTGGATTGAGAGAAGCGGATTCTTTACCGCACGGGTATGAGGGTGCTGGCTTGTTCGGTAGTGACTGTCGCAGTTTATGCACTGCTGGGCAAGCCAGCAGTGGCACCCACACGAGGGTCAAGTCAAGTTACTGAGCTTGCTTCTAGGTTTGTAGTCTGGAACTACGCGGGGTGTCGCACGACTTTGCCTTCGCGGTAGGCCTTATTTCCTTGATGGGCTGGGACGACAGCCCACACGCCGGCTTCGACGGGGGCGTTGGGCGTTTGACGGCTGCGAACGCATTGCACCCAGTTGCTGAGGTGCAGGATTTCGCCAGGCGGTTCCTTATAGAAGTCGGCCCCACGCGGACCCTCGCCGATTATCATCTCGCGGGCTTCGACTTTCGAATTGCGTTCGGGGTGCACTTCGTATCGTCCGCGGTCGAGGTAGAGCGTGCCCTGGGTGCCCATGAATTCGAGCATGGCGGCATTGCGGGCGTTGACGAAGGTGCCTTCGAAGTAGACTTGGGTTTCTTGGTCGGGGTAGCGCAGCAGGGTTTGAATTGTGTCGGGCGTTTGCCAGATACCCTCGGCGTGGAAGTGATCGCCAATCGCGACCGCTTCGGTTGGGTATTGCAGGCCGAGATACCAGTTGGCCACATCGATGTAGTGCACCATCAGGTCGGTCAGAATGCCGCCGCCGAAGTCCCAGAACCATCGCCAGTGCCGGAAGCGATACTCGTCGAACGGTTGATCGGGGGCCGAACCGAGGAACTGTTTCCAATCGACACTCTTGGGATCGATGCCCAATTTGCGGCTGGTCGCACGGCTTTGATTGCGATTCCAGGTGAGATGCACCTTGTGGATGGTGCCCAATTCGCCGGAGCGAATGATGTCGTACGCCTGTTGGAATTGCGGCATGCTGCGTTGTTGCATGCCAACTTGCACGATCTGCCCGGTGCGTTTTTGGGCGTCGATGGCGGCTTGCCCTTCGGATATATCGTGCGTGAGGGGCTTCTCGACGTAGACGTCTTTGCCTGCCTCGCAGGCGGCCACCATCAGGGGAACATGCCAGTGATCGGGTGTGCCGATGACGACGGCGTCAATGTCGTCGCGCTCGAGCAACTTCTGATAGTCCTTGGTGGAGAATGCCTTCGGGTCGGCCATGCCGAGCCCTTTTTCGAGGCTTTCATCCCACACGTCGCACACGGCCGTGATGCGGACGCCGTCGATGTTGCTGAGGGCACCCATCAATTGCCGGCAACGCCCACCGGTGCCGATGCAGCCAACGTTGAGCGTCTCGTTGGCGTAGTAGCCTCGGGCGGTGGCAGAGAATCCGGCCGCCATCACGCCGGCCCCACAGGTTTTCAGGAAATCGCGTCTGGGTTGCAGGTTCGCCATTGAATGCTGCCCTCGCCGTTTCGGGTTTCGTACCGTTTCGGCTTAACAGGATAGCTGATGCGGAGGCCAAAAGCCCGTCGGAAGTACACAGGGTGTAGAACTTGCGAGGAGATTTGCAATGCGGGTGGAGTCGGCCGACAATTGCCGGAATCGCAACATTGGGGTGTATGCAACTACGGAAAAGTCACGCAACGGAGAGGTGCTTCATCGTGCGAAACTTCTTGCTAATCGTTTTGGGTATGTTTCTCACGTCAGTGTGGGTGCAAGGTGCCGAGGCACGAAAGCCCAATCTGGTGGTGATCATGGCCGACGACCTGGGGGCCAAGGAACTGGGGTGCTACGGGAACGCCGACCACGAAACGCCGCGGCTCGATGCGATGGCGGCCGAGGGAATTCGCTTTCGGACTTGTTATTCGGCTCCGGTTTGTTCGCCCACGCGGGTGATGATCATGACGGGGCGGTACGGCTTCCGCACCGGGTGGAATAATTTTCTCTTGAGGGCTTATGCCCCGAGGGAGGATTCGCCGCTGTTCGACCTTGGTTCGGCACAGCTTACTTTCGCCGACATGTTGAAGGAGCAGGGCTACGCTACGGCGCTGGCGGGCAAGTGGCAGCTCTCGGGCAAGGTGCCCACGCTGATTCACGATTGTGGGTTCGATGAATATTGCATCTGGGCGTACGACCATAATCTGCCCGAGGGGGTGAAGCATACCGGCGGGCGTGAAGGTCGAAAGAAGACTGCCCGCTATTGGCATCCTTCGATCATGCAGAACGGGAAGTACGTTCCGACCACTCCCGAAGATTACGGCCCCAACATGTTGGCCGATTTCATTGCCGACTTCATGAAGCGACACAGGGATGAACCGTTCTGTGTGTACTACCCCATGCTGCTGACGCATGAGCCGTGGGATCGTACGCCGATGATTGGCAAGCCGGGGAAGAAGACTCCGAAAGGGTTGAAGTACAACGTGGAGTACATGGACCACATCGTGGGTCGCGTGCTCGATTCGATCGACGAACTGGGACTGCGTGACGATACGGTCGTGATCTTCACGGGCGACAATGGCACGGGCAAGTCGGGCAAGAACACGCCTACTGAGTTGGGTGCCAGGGTTCCGCTCATCGTTTCGGCACCCGGCCGTTTTGCGAAAGGTGTGGTGAGCGACGAACTGGTGGATCTGTCGGACATCTTGCCGACGTTGGTCGACCTGGCCGGCGGGAGTATTCCCAGTGATCACATTGTTGACGGGCATAGTCTCGTGCCGACATTGGAAGGCGAGCCGGGAGAACACCGCGAGTGGATTTTCAGCTTCTTGGGCAACAAACAGATTCTCCGCGACAAGCGATGGTTGCTGGAAGGCGATGGCACATTCTTCGACTGTGGTACCAGCCGCAACGGCGCCGGGTACAAAGACGTGTCTGGGAGTAACGACCCCGAGGTGGTGGCGGCCAGGAAACGCTTTGATGAAATCCTGGAAGGTATGCCGGTCCCGAAAGATGATGACCCGGAATTGGTGCCGCCGAAGTAGGCCGGTCTCGGGGCAAGCTCTGGCCTACGGAGGCTGATTGCTGGCGGACGTTGCCAATTCCGGGTCATCGTGTGGGTCATGTCTCGAGTGGGGTCATTCGAGGTTGAGGTCACCGCCGGCTCGGGTGCTGAGGGCTTTGTAGACGTTGACGCTGATGTCGTTGGCGATGAATCGCACGCTGCCGTCGGCGAGGACGTGATTCGCGCCGCCGTGGTGATCGCTGCTGGGGCCGTACTCCCAGTCGTTCTGATAGCCGGAGATCGACTCCATGCTGTTCAGGTCGGACATCGTGAGATACGGCGTGCGGTTGAGTGTGTGCTCGTTGGTGTTGGAATGAGCGAGTGCGACGACCGTGGCAGTGCTTCCTTCCCACCACGCGCCGTATCGTTGCTCGCGAGTCTCGGTGGCCATGATCGTGTTTGAGGTTCCGTCGAGGATGGCTGCAATGCGGGTGCTTGCCTCAAACCTGCCCTTGGCTGGGTACAGAACGCCATCGGGCTCGTCACTGTTGAGCTGCTGCCAGGTGCTTGCGCCCATGCCGACGTAGTTGGAGAGCGGAAGCTGAATCCAAATCGCCGGCTCTTTGTATTCCTCGGCGGTGGTTACGAACTCGCTGGCGAACTCGGGACAACGAAGCCCAGCAATTTCCTGCTTGGCGATGGCGACGTTGCCGGTCGGTGGGTTCGTATCGTGGTCGGTCTCATCCCAGGTTGTTCGATTGAAGTCGATCGAGTCACCCAGTGCGCTCTGCTCCATGTAGGGCAGAAGCATGGCGTGCCAACTATAGACGTGGCCGCTGGCGGCCTCGGGATCATCTGGGTCGGGGAGTTGGGTCTTCAGCGTTTCGGCCATAGGGCCGAGCAGGACTCCGGTGGAAGACGGCGGGAAACGCCAGTAGCTGTCGTGGTAACTGTGCAGCGCCAGACCAATTTGCTTGAGGTTGTTCGTGCACGACATTTTGCGAGCGGCAGACCGCGCTGCTTGCACGGCCGGCAACAGCAGTGCGACTAGGATTCCAATGATGGCGATGACGACTAGCAATTCGACGAGTGTGAAAGCACTGCGCATGGACGACCGATTCATTTCGGGCCTCTTTCTCAGGGGAGTGTTCGCACGAAGTCTGCGCGTACAGCGGGCGCAGAAGATTCGCTGGGTTTTTTGGCTGGCGCGTTGCCTAGGGAATGGCGAAACGCGTGATGCCCGAGCAGTTGGGCAGGGTTGGTTGTTCCAAAAGAAGTACGCCGGAAATACTTCGGCGTTGCGCAGAAAATCGAAAAATTCTTGAGATAGCTGAATTCGCCGAGCTTCTCGCGTGAGAACTCGACGCTATTCGACGCCTGTGTAGAGCGAGAAGAGGTGCGCGAAGCGTTTCTTCACGCGATGGTGGCGATAGCGAACTTTTTCCACCGTGGAGCCCGTGGCTTCGGCAACTTCCTGGACCGAGAGCCCTTCGATGGCCCTCATGTAGAAGACGCGATAGTCACGCTCTGAAACGTCGGCCTCGAGTTGGGCGAGAACCGCGTGCACTGTCTCGACATTCCATTGATTTTCGTATTCAGCCGCAGGATCGGCCGTTGCATCGTGCAGCGACGAAGCCACTTCGGGAGAAAGATGGCTGGTGGGCCGTCGTGCACGGCGGCGAACCATGTCGGTGGCCTTGTTGCGGACCAGCGTGTAGAGCCACGTCCTAAAGCGACCGCGTTCGGCGTCGTAGCGGAACTCGGGCAGTGCCTGAAGTACCGACTGCAACGCGTCTTGCACACAGTCGTCGATTTCGCTTTGCGAGACGCCGCAAGAGATCGCAAAACGACGGACTACAGGGCTGTAAAGGTCGTAAAAACACTCCCACGCATCTGCCGAAACTTCGGACGAGTCCCGCCCGGCCAATTGATCCTGCAGGAACAACTGGGTGGCTTCGAGCAGCGAGGGATCGGTGACTTCGCTTTCTGATCGACGCTTGAAGGGGGCTGGAGTCATGGCGTCGAGCACCTGGCTGAAGATCAGTTGCAGCGGCCAAAGGTTAGGAGGGAAAACCGTCGGATCGGCCTGCTGGTCCAACCTTAGCTAGAACGCTTGCGAATGTAAACGTTTTTTGTTTGAAGCGATGTGGTGTGAAAAGAAAACGTGCGAGCCGGAGAGACATGCGCTGTGAAGAAGCACACTCGCCAATACCATGCGGCGTGAAGGTTGTAGCCATCGGAAGTAGAAGCGGATGCCGATGAGACGAATCGCTGCGCTCACGACACTAGCCAAGTAGGTGAGACCTTGGCCTGACCTACGGAAGATGGATTACATCAGGTACCAGGCGCCGGTGACGATTACGTAGATGGCCAGGAGAAGATTCGTTACGCCGTGGGCGATGATGCAGTCGTAGATGTTGCGCGTGGTGAGCATGAGCCAGGAGACGACGGCGAACCAAGCGATGGCGGCTGGGAACTCGGTTAAGGGGTGAGCGAGTGCGAACACCACTGTGGTGGCGGCCAGTGGGCCGAGTTGATAAGTGCCGAACTCGATCCTCCACCAGTCGCTGCCTTGCAGGAAGCGAATGAGGAACGCCCGCCAGAAGAACTCTTCGATCCAGGCGACGACCACCACCATGCCGAACAGCCGCAGGGCAAGAAACGCGTAGGCCATCGCTGGGCTGTCGGCCCAATGTTCCAGGGGATTGAATCCGCTGCGTTCGCCGGCTTCGGCAAAGCTGGAGAGCCCGACGCTGTTCAGCAGGTTGTTCATCGCATCGAGCACGGGCGGCTGGCAGAGCCCAATCCAGACGACGGCCCCCACCGCACCCACCAGGAAGGACAACGGCGAGACCCGAAAGCGAAACGGATGATAGCCGGGCCAGACGATGGCGATCGTGATCAGCGTGATCACGATCTTTGCCGCGTAGATCAACGGGTAATAAGAGTAGGACAGGCCGAGTGGGCCAGGGTTGGCCTCGCCATCGGGCCCTGGCGGTTGGGGCTCGAGCGAGTTTGCTAGCATGTAGACCACCATCGGAGCAACGAATGGAACCCAGGGGTATTTCGCCAGAAAATCCTGAGGCCCCTCGGTTGACGAGGTGTCCGAGGAAATCGTGCTAGCTTCGTCGGAAGTCGTCGAGGACTTAACCGGTTGTTCGGTCGAGGGTTTTGCGGTCTCGCCGGGCGAATCTTCAGGTTCAGATGGTGTGTCGCTCATGGTGCCTAAGCCTAAGTGGCACAAGTAGATCAGTCAATATGCTGCGTGCCGGGTGGTGTCGGGTTGGCCCCACTCCGAAGCTTCATTGCAAGCACATCAAACCTTCATCCTCAGTTCGTACTTTTCAGAACTTGTAAATTTGCTCTAGGCGTTACGACGAAATGGATTAGGATGACCGGTAGAGTCTCCCACCATGCGATGGCCCCTCTTTGTCTCAGGGGCGGCGTTCGGGGCTGAGGTATTCTTGCGGCCCCTATTCCTGTATGAAACACGGTGTAGCCGGAATGTAGGCTCCGCCGGCGTTCGGGAAGTGGCTAGGGAAGTGGCGTCCATTCTGAATTGATGTTCATGGAGCGGTTGAGCGGCAGAACGATGAAACTTGAAAAACTGCGTAATATTGGGATTTCGGCACACATCGATTCGGGCAAAACGACCCTGAGCGAACGGATTCTGTTCTACGCTGGGCGTATTCACCGCATTCAAGAGGTGAAGGGTGAAGGCGGCGCGACCATGGACCATATGGACCTGGAACGCGAACGCGGGATCACCATCACCAGCGCTACCACCAGCGTTAAATGGGGCGACGTCGACATCAATCTCATCGACACCCCGGGCCACGTTGACTTCACCGTTGAAGTCGAGCGTAGCCTCCGCGTGCTCGACGGCGCCGTATTGGTGCTGTGTGCCGTGGGTGGTGTTCAGTCGCAATCACTCACCGTCGATCGCCAGATGAAGCGGTACCACATTCCGCGTTTGGCGTTCATCAATAAAATGGACCGCACCGGTGCCAACCCGCTCCGCGTGGTCGATCAACTCCGCGAAAAGCTGGAATGCGACGCGGTGCTGATGCAGTTGCCAATTGGCGCGGAAGACAAGTTCGAAGGCGTGGTCGATCTGGTTACCCAGAAGGCGATCTACTTCGATGGTGACAACGGCGAAACAACCCGCCGTGAAGAAGTCCCCGCCGCTATGGCCGACGATGTGGCCACGTATCGCCAGGCGATGCTCGAAGGCTTGGCCATGTACAGCGACGAGCTGATGGAATTGCTGCTGGCCGAAGAAGAAGTGCCGGAAGAGCTGATTCATCAGGTCGCCCGTCAAGCCGTGCAAGGGCTCGATGTCACTCCGGTCTTCTGCGGTTCGGCTTATCGCAACAAGGGTGTCCAGCCGCTGCTGGACGCGATCGTGCGTTACCTGCCTTCGCCGCTGGAACGCGAAATCAAGGCCCAGGGCTACGACAACCCCGAAGAGCGTGTCACCCTGGAGCCCGATGTGAACAAGCCCATGGTGGGCATGGCCTTCAAGATCGTCGATGATCCGTACGGCCAGTTGACGTTCACCCGCGTGTACCAAGGTTCGATCGTGAAGGGCGAGTCATACTTCAACCAGCGAACCGGTCGCAAAGAGCGAATCGGTCGTTTGGTGCGTATGCACGCCGATCAACGTGAAGAAATCGACGAGGCCAAGGCTGGCGACATCATCGCCGTGATGGGCATCGACTGTGCCAGTGGTGATACCTACTCCTCCGAACGTAATTTCTGCACGCTGGAAAGTATGTTCGTGCCCGAGCCGGTCATCAAAATGGCCATCAACCCGTTGTCTCGCGATGGTGCCGATCGATTGGGCAAGGCCCTGGGTCGCTTCCACCGCGAAGACCCGACATTTAAGGTCGAAACCGACGAAGAGACTGGTGAAACGGTCATCGCGGGCATGGGTGAATTGCACCTCGATATTTACATCGAGCGTATTCGCCGTGAGTACGGTGTCGAAGTCGAAGTGGGTGCTCCTAAGGTGAGCTACCGCGAGGCACCTACGAAGACGGCCGAGTACAGCTATACCCACAAAAAGCAAACCGGTGGTTCGGGGCAGTTTGCCCACATCGTCGGCAAGCTGGAAGTGCTGGACGAAGACGCCGAAGAAGAAGTCTTCGAGTTCGAATCGAACGTTACCCAGGGTCGTATTCCGCGTGAATACATCCCCTCGGTCGAGAAGGGCTTCCGCGATTCGCTGCCCAAGGGCCCCGTGGCCGGCTTCCCGATTGTGGGTGTCAAAGGCATCCTCGACGATGGTAAGTACCACGAAGTCGATAGCTCGGACATGGCGTTCCAGACTTGTGCCCGAAACTGCTTCCGCGAAACCTTCCTGAAGACCAAGCCGGTTCTGCTGGAGCCGGTGATGAAGGTCGAAATCGAAGTGCCTGGCGAGTTCCAGGGTTCGGTCGCTGGCGACGTCAGCAGCCGTCGCGGTATCGTGATGAGCACCGAAATGAACGGCAACCTGGCCAAGATCGAAGCCGAGATTCCGTTGGCTTCGACCTTCGGTTACTCGACCGACCTGCGAAGCATGACGCAAGGTCAGGGCACCTTCTCGATGGAATTCGCCAAGTACAAGCGAGTACCGGCGAAGGTTCAGGAAGAAGTCATCGCGGAGCGCAAAGCCCCGTTGGTGAATGCCTAAGACTGCCGGCTGAGCGACGAGGTTTGCTCAGCAACAATTTGATATCCCAACACCCGCACGGTGGTTTCATCGTGCGGGTGTTTTCTTTTGAGCAGCTCGCTGAGGCAGATAGATGCCTTAGGCAGCCATTCGCGGAGAGGGTTCGACCACTTCTTTGGCGGCGACCTTCTTCTCGGGCATGGGGGCACCCACATTCACGCCCACGCCAGGGTTGCGCCACATGCAGGGGAGCATATTCGCGGTGGCCTGCCAGTAGGAACTGAACACTGGCACTTCAACCTCGTGGTTCTCGGTGATGAACTGTTCCATTTTCTCCTCCAATCGCCCGTGAGGGAGTCGTGGATGGCGATGGTGGGGGCCGTGAATGAATATGTCGAACTGCAGGTAGGTTGCCCAGCGAGTGATCCAGTTACTTCCCACCACAGTGCGGGTACCGAGAATCGGGTCGTAGCTCTTCATGCCCAAGTGCTCGGTCAGCTTGCGGCCCGTTTGCAGGAACGTCATCACCAGCAGCGGCAACACCCATTGGGCATAGCTGGTCCGCAGCACGTGGAATTCATCGAGTGTGAGGATCAACGCAGTCCAGGCCGCAGCGATGAGGCCGTATTCCATCCAGATCGTGCGGCGAATCTGCTTCGACTTCAGTGGCGAGTCTTTGTGGAAGAAGATCCGTCCGTAGATGTACGGCGTGGTGAGGGCACCAAGAAACAGGTCGAACCATACGAAGACGCGACGATAGGTCAGCGATGCCTTCGGGTCGCTGTACGGCCAAAGTTCCCAGTCTGAAGGGGTGTTCAAGTAAGCGTGGTGCCGCACGTGCGACTCGCGGTAGACCGTGTAGGGAATTAAGAGCACCGTGCCAATCAACCGCCCTACGAGGACGCTGAGCCACGGCCAGCGACTGAACGTTTGGTGCGAGGTCTCGTGGAAGCAACTTGAAAGCGAGAGCAGGGCGTAGCCGGTGGCGACCACCCAAAACGCGACTGAGACGGGGCCTGTGGTTGGCCAGGGGTGGTAGATCATCCACATCCCGCAGGCCACCGCAGGGAAGACCAAAATGTGCGGCAGTGACCAGCCGTGCCGGTCTGTTTTCGAGTTGTCGGCGGTTGTTGCATGCGACATGACAGTCCCCGCGAATGAATGCCCTGAGAGTTCCGGCGATGCCATTTATTCGGCTTGTACCGATTGGGCACTGCAAGAAATCTGGGAAAACCTTGCCGGTCGGGAGGCTGGGGATGCGCGAGGATGCCAGCATCGCTGGCGAATGGCTTCCAGGGAACGTTACCACGCGTTGCCGATCAGTCTCGGTCGAAGGACTCCGCCACCAAAGCGGTAGACGGGGCGTTGATGCGATAGATGGTGGAATCCACGCGGAACCGCAGGTCGGGGCTCAGGCTGTTCGCCACGGCCAAGTACGCCGTTCCTCTGAATTCAAACCACTTGGCACTCACGCCACCATACGTGGTCACATGCTGAGCGACTTCGAACTGCTCGCCGTTCCAAATATAGAGTGGCGATTGCTGTTCGGATTGCGGGGCTTCGCGAGTGCCCGTGATGAAGAGCGTTTGGAACAGATACGGCTGACCGGCGACTGTGAAGTACGTGAAGTTGCGGCCTCCCAGGGGAGGAAGTGTCTGGAACTCGACGAATTGCTCGCCGCTCCAGCGGTAGATGATCGATGGCTTTGAGATTCGAGCCCAGGCCAGGAACGGCTCGCCGTCGATCTCGAAGAACTCGAAGGCCCTTCCCCCTTGGCCTTCGAAGGTTTGAAACTCAACAAACTGTTCGCCATCCCAGCGGTAGATTTTGGAGTCGAGCAGATGATCGGTTAGAGCAAGATATGGCGTCCCTGCAATCTCGAAGGATTCCCATTCATAGGACCATTGCGAAGGAATCTGTTGGAACTCGTTGAAGCGTTCGCCGTTCCATCCGTAGATCATGGAGTTGGGATTAGCGGATGTGTTGGCCTCCTCGGCAGTTACCCCGTTGGCCAAAGCGAGGAAGTGTCGCTGACCGATTGTGAAGGCGTGCCAATTCTTCGAGGCGAATCCCAGGAACTGTTGGATGGGGTAGAAGCGTCGACCATCCCAGCGGTAGAGCTTGGAATAGGTCTCCATCGAGTAGTTGGGGCCAGGCCCCGAGCGAATACTGGCCACGGCGAGAAAGGACTCGTCGCCGATTTGAAAGAACGCGGCGCTTTCGTTGCCGTGACTGGGGATGCGTTGAAAGACTTCGAACTGTTCGTTCACCAGCTTGAAGATCAAGACATCCACATCCGAGGTGCCGCCGTTCATGTTCGGTGCGGTGTTAGGGACATCTGCGGCCAGTTGAGCGACGGCCAGATACAGTTCGCCGTCGAGTTCGAACGGTGTAATCTCCCGGGCGCCCGAGGTTGTTAACTGCCAGGTTAGGGTCAGAACCTTGTCGTTCGCCGGCAGAGAATTCGTGTCGGTGACTCCGCGGTTAACGAGCGGTTGGGCGCCGCTTTCCGTGGTTGTTGGGTACGCGTGAATGCCATCGGGAAGACCTGCGGTTAAGCCGGGGATGTCGACTTTGCTCAGATCCCACTTTTTCGCTGCGAGTTCGCCTGCCATCCAGAAGCCAACCGAGTTGGAGAGCATCTCGGCGGGCGACTGCATCGAGTGCTTCAAGCGAACCATGAACTGGTCGACTTGATCGGCGGCCGTGAATCCATAGTCGCCTGGAATCGCTTTGGAGTCTGGCGTCTCGATATTCGGAATGTCGGTGAACACATCCCGCGCGATGCGGGAGCGATTGATGGCACTTCCCCACACTGCAGACGCGTAATAGTTGTACGCTTCTGGTGACAGTTCCTCGGCGCCCAGTTCGCTTCGATGTTCGGCATAGGGGGCGATGAGGATGTGGTCCTCGGGAATTTCACCTAGAGCGAGAGCCTGCAGGAAAGGCACCATCCAGTTGGTTTGTTTGGTGAGCCCCGAGGTGACATTGGTGCCCGCCTGACTTCGGACGATGACCATCGCGTTCTTCCAATCCAGACCGACCGATGCCAGTTGATCGTGGATGGTCGACATTTCTTCCAGCGCGGTCAGCATGAAGGTGCCGATCATCACGGTATTGAACGAAATGGGATACGCCTCATTGCCGTCGAGAAACTGTTGCTGCACATTTTCAAGCGTTAAAGCTTCCTTGCCAGCTTGGACATCGACCAGAAAGTCTTCTGACATGGCCAGGGCATAACTGACCATGTTGCGGATTTCATCCTTGTGCGCTCGCCAGGGCGCGATGTTGGCCCGATCGAGCCAATGATCGGTGTCTTGTTCGTTCAACTGCTGAGCGGTACGAATGTCTTCTAGAAGGTCTGCCAGGAGTGGTTCCCACGAGGGATCACCGTTCTCTTTGATCTTCGCCAGGTAAGCGATGGCGGGCCCGATGTGTGAAACGGCCGTCAACTCGAAGAAGCCCGAGTCGTTCGTGGCGCGGAACGAGTTGTGGTACAGCAATCGTCGATCGCTGCCGTAGCAATACAGCTCGGAGCCACTAATGATCACCAGCGGTCCCAGGTGCGAGCTTTCTGCAACGTTTCTGGCCTCCGAGCGAAAGAGCGCCTGCGGGATGGTTTCTTTGCCATGGGGGAATGCGGGATCGTTATAACCGCCGAAATTGAAATAAAGCGACATGAACTGAGGCGGCGTGCGGTACACGGGTGAATCCTCACCGAGAGAAGCAGGGAAGGGTGCGAACACCAATATGAGCGTCAAGGGCAGGGTTTGCGAACGAAACGCTGGCAAGAATTGCATGATTCAACAATCCGGGTTCGGGCGGAGCAAGGCCAAGACTTTCCTGCTTCATTGCGCAAGCGTAGCTCACAGGGCAAGAAAGTCCCCGGATTCGATTGAGATGCAGCGTCGTCAGATGCGAACGGCAACGACTATTCCAGAGACTGCAGTTGCTCGATGACCTGTTGAGGGCGCACCCGAACTCGGTAGTTCTCGGTTAGATCGCGCCAGCGGATGATCCCCTCGCCATCGATGATGAAGACGCCGGGCCGTGCGACGTCTTTGCCTTGGACCACAGCGTTCTCATGCCGCAGGTCGTAGGCATCGATTGCCTTGTGTTCAGGATCGGAAAGCACTGGGAAGTCAAGCCCCATTTGCTTCACCAAGTCTGCGTTCTCTTCGACGGTGTCGACGCTGATGGCGAGTACCTCTCCGCCGGAGGTGTGAATCTCGTCGATGCCTGACTGCAAACCTTGCAGTTCTGAACGGCAGAACGGTCACCAATAGCCGCGATAGAACACCAGGATTACGTTCCGGCCGCGGTAATCGGCAAGGCTGACCGGCTTGCCTTGCGTGTCGAGCAGCGTGAAGTCGGGGGCCAACTCCGCCTGAGTGGGTGCCGCGGCTGCAGAGGGCATCTGGTAGGAGAACGAGAAGATGTAGAAGCAGAACAAGCCGGCGATCGCGGTGGCGAGGAATCCTCCGAGTGTGGCGAACACTTTTCCGATCAGCCCACCGCCGGAGCGATAAACTTGATAGGTCGCCACGAGGGCCAAGCCTGCCCCGATTAGCACTAGCGGTAGATTCACCCAGGGGAAATCGCGGAGTGCGGGGAATTGAACGAAGTAGAGGAAGTAGCTGACCGCCGCGGCGAACACGATCGCCAGATCGACCCAAACAGCGACGTGCGGCCAGTACTTGAAACCAGGTTTGGGAGTATCGGTCTCGGTGGTTGCGTTCATTGCAGCGTCCTTCCCACGGATGAGCACGCCAGACAAGGCTTCACGACTTGCCCCACATCAAGAACGCATTATACGGTAGAACATGCAGAGGTCCGAATCACGTGATTCGGACGCGGGAAACCAAGCGGCCGGCATTGCAAAGGCGCAAAAAAATGGCCGCCGCCGCTTGGAGAGCGGTGCGGCGGCGGCCAGACGCTGGTTGAGTTCCACGAGTTGCTCGTGGCCCGAGAAGCACGGTATGCGTTTCTACGGGTTGTTGAGGATCAGCGCTTCTTCCTCTTCCTGAATGATGATGCGGGGGGTGACCATCATCATCAGGCTTTGGGTTTCGCGACCGATGCCCACGTTTTTGAACAAGCGGTTCACATATGGAATCTTGCTGAGGAACGGCACACCGAACTCGTTTCGCCCTTCACTCAGTCGTTTGATACCACCCAATAGCACCGTACCACCGTCGGGCACACTCACAGTTGTGGTGACTGACACGAAGGCGAATGTCGGTAACTGAACCGTGGTACCTTCGGTCACCGTGGTCGAACCTTCCGACCGGGCGGTGGTGTCGTCGTCAGGACCTTCCGAGCTGCTGTCTTCGGTGGTGGTGGTCGATCCAGTGAACGTGAAGGTGTCCACATCGCGAATCTCGCTGAAGAACGGCACCACGGTCAGTCGCACGAAGCGGCGGTCGCTGGAGACCACGGCTTGCACCGTGAGGAACGTTCCTTCGGAGAGCACTACGATCACCGGTTGTTGAGCGGCGGCAAAGTCGCCGACCACCGGGATCACGCTGATCACGAACGGGCTTTGCGACACGTCGGCCACCGAGGCTTGTTGTCCGTTGAACAACGTGACCTTGGGGGCTTGCAGCACGTTACTTCGCTGATCGCCCTGGGCAGCGTTGATGAAGAAGAACGCTTCCAGGTCGCTCAAGATGGCAAAGCCCAGGCTGGCACCCGCGGCGGGGTTGAATCCACCGAACTGCGGTGTGGCCAGCGAGAAGCTGTCCTGACTGAACGGAATGTCCAAGTCGGTCGAGAACACACCCGGGGCCGACTGACCTACCGTGATGCTGGGGCCGTGGTCACGGTCACGCGTGTCACGGTCGACACCGACTTCCGAAGCATCCTTCTGACCCTCGGTCGGCTTACCGAACACCTGGTAAGGACGGTCGATGTTGTCGTCGAGATCGAAGTCGAAGTCGACGCCGATCCGCTCGAAGAAGTTATCGTTGAGTGTGATAAAGCGAACTTCGATGGTCACCTGCAGGTCTTGCAGACGACGCAACTGTTCGAGCAAGTCCACGATTTGCTCGTGAACTTCCTGTGTCTGGCTAACGACCAGGCTGAGGTTGGTTTGGAACTCGCGGATCGAGCCCGGGCCACCCACTTCGTCCCACGAGGTGGGAGCAACGGTGGAGACGATCAGCTCGATCAACTCATCGAAGTCGGCCTGCGAACCACCGCCCATACCGCCGGGGCCGCCGAAGCCGACCGATTGCCCGTCGCCGATGGTCGCACCACCGCCGGCACCACCGCCGGAGAACTGGGCCATCAGGCTCGGGTCGAGGGCGGCGTTGGAAGTACCGCCGTCTTGGCTTGCCGCCACGGCCAGCGGTTGGGTTGAACCCAAACCAGGTCGTACGCCGTAGCCAACATTTCCGTAGGCGTCTCGCAAGGCACCGCCCATTCCCATTTGGCCATTGGGCACAAAGTTGGGAATCGGGATGACCAAATCGGCAACGTTGTAGGTTTCCACGAAGACGTGCTCGTCGCTGAGGTCTTCGCTGGTGATTCGCAATACTTCGTCGCGAATCACGTACGACAGTCCGCGGGGTGCCAGAATGAGGTTCAGGGCACTTTTGAGCTGCACGTCTTGGCTCAGGTCGATGGTGACCGGGTCGTCGGTCGTCAAACCGGCATCGGCCAGACCGATCTCATCGAGGAAGATGTTCACGTCAGCCATTTGGCCCAGCGTCTTGATCACCGTGCTCAGCGGAGCATCGGCGAAGTTCAATGATACGGGGGTGCGCAACCGTTGCTCGATTTCGATTTCTCGCGGGCTGCGGTGCATGCCGTCTCCGACACCCAGGCTCTTACGACGATTCGTCAGATCGATCCATTCTTCCGGATTTCCGAAGGAGTAATCGACGGCCGAGGGAATGGAAGCCTCGTCCACGGCTTCCAGCGTTTCGGTAAAGCCGATTGCCTTGGCGTCTCGGATGGCGATTTGACTCGAGAGATTATCAGCCAATCGTGACGTAACGATGAGTTGTTGGACCACCGGTTCATCGGGGGCCAACTCCTGGGCGCGACGCGCGATAACTTGTGCTTCTGCGAATCGTTCTTCGCGGATGAGCGTGTTGTATTCGTCGATCAGGTCGGCCAGTTTCTGGTTTGTTTCTTGCTTGACGAGCTTCTCGCGTTCGATCTGTTCTTCGATCCGCTGATTTCGCTTCTTCAAGTCGATCATCGGCTGACGTTGTTCGACGTACAGCTTGGCTTCTTCCAGCGTCTTGTCGAGTCGTCGCAGCAACACTTCTTTCATGTTGCTATCGAGAGCGGCCGCTTCGATCATTACCCGGGCTTCTTCGAGGATGGCGAAGCCGGCATCGGGATCGGTATCGAACAACTCCTGGGCCGAATTGGTTCGGCGAGAGAGTTCGATGATCGTCTGGTTGTAGATCAACTTCTGCTGTGCTGCAGCGTCGGGCAACAGGTCGCCGGGCTTTACGGCCGGTGTGGCGGCGCCCGGAGGAGCACTCACGCGAGTGAGGTTCTGTTCCAGCCGTTGGATGGTGGCTTCGTCCAACTGCTCACGCAGGGTGCTTGCTTCTTGAAAGTATGTGCGGGCCAGAGCCAAGTTGCCGGAGGCCAGCGCTTGTTCACCCCATTCGATCATCTGCACTGGGTCTCGCGAACCCTGAGCGCCCGTGGGGATTTCTTCTTCCACCACATCTTCAACCATGGCTTCGGTATCGACCGGAGCGGTGGCATCGAGTTGTGATGCGGTTCCTGGGGAATCGCTACCGGGCAGGCGTAGTTCCATCTCGGCTTGGGCCGGTACGTTCTGTGTGGTGTCGGCCGCCGGCGAGTACATGGCCGGCTCGGTGGGCAATCGCTGCGGCATGTCGGTACCCGCGGCGTTGGGCCCTGCGATAGGCTCCGTTCCACCGGCCAGCGAAACTCCGCTTTGAGGTCCGGCGGCTTTCTGGATTTCGAAAAGCACCAATGCCGGACGATCTTCGCCCGCTGCGTAGTGCGAGTCGGGGACTCCCAGGGCGTTGGCCTGTTCGGCGAGCTGCTTGGCAGTGGGCAATTCACCCCGGGCCAGAGCGGCACGTGCTTGGGCAACCAGGGCGAGGGCCTGCTTCTTCTTCGCAGCAGGGTCGGCGGCTGTGGGGGCCGGCTTGTCGACCGCCAACGGATTGACCAATCCACTGCTGGTGGGTTGCGGTTGTGTTGCGGGGAGGCCCGAGGGGTTCGAGCCTTGATTTCGGGCTGCCTTGATACGTTGGAGCAGTTTCTGAGGCGAGGCACCGAATGTGTTGAAGTCCACACCCATGCGACCCACGTTCATTGCCACGCGTTCGGCCGTGTCGAGGTCGTTCCACTTCAACAGCCATTCAGCCTGCTCTAAGAGAAGTTGAGCCTGTTGCGTCTTGGCCGTGCGAGGATCGAGCCCTCGGGTTTGCTGATCGTTCAGGATTTCGAACTTCTGAACTGCTTCGAGCACCTTGGCCGGTTGATCTTCGTGGAATTCGTAGGCGACCCCGAGGGCTTCGGCCTTTTCGCCAAGTTGTCGGGCACGCGTGACATCGCCGAACGAGAGCGAGCGATGAGCTTCGAGCAAGAGCTTGTCGCTAGCCTGTCGGGCCGACTGAATTTGGGTGCCTCGTTGCGAACCGCCACCGGCTGCTGGCATTCGCAGCGTGACTTCTTCATCGGTGGGAGGTGTCAGCGAGTTAGCTTCTTCGAAAGGCGAGCCTTCTCCAGCGACGAGATCTAAGGCAGAAGGACCTTGTTGCTCGGCACCGATGCCCAGCGGATGGCCGGGGTCTTCGGTGGGCGGATTTGTTTGGGTGAACTGAGCGGCAGCGGCCGATTGGCTCGGCACGTTGTCGATCTTTCCGCCGGCCTTGCGAATGTCGGCGGCCAGTTTCTCGGGCGAATCTTCATTCGGACCGAACTGAGCGTTCTGAGCGACGGCCTGATGGTAGTAATGTTCGGCCGCAACGCGATTGCCTTGAGCCAGGGCCTTGCGGGCATCGGCCACATGACGGGCGGCGGTGGACTTCACATCGAACAGAGGATTCGTCGCTTCTGCCATCGAAATCGATGGCTGCTGCGGAGCGGTGGGAATCTGCGTTTGGGGCATCTCTTGCTGAGGCGAGACTCGTTCGCTGGGACGCTTGGGCTGCTTGTCAGCCTTCTTCATCGCGTCGGCCAGATCGCGGCGAGCTTTCTTCGGCGTATCGCCAAAGTGCAACAGACCGAACCGTACGTCGAGTTCTTCGGCCCGGGTGATGTAGGAGTCGGCCGTTTCGTAGCGGCCTTCCTTCATCGCCTCGCGAGCTTGGTCGAGTAGGTCGGCGACGTCCTGCTTGGGATCGGACGATTCCTGGTCGTCAGCTTGCGCCAACACAGAAGCACTCATCACCGTGAGGGCAGCAGCGTGACGGCTGCCGGCTGAGGCCGTTGCCGGAGCCAACGTCGCAAAGACAATGGCACTCGTGGCAAGGGAGCGAGCAGTCCTTTTCAACAGATTCTCCTTCCGCGACTCGTGGAGTCCGCTAATTCCGAATCGATGCTCGTTACACATCGTGTCGAAGCAGCACCAGAGACCTTCACACGATCGCGACGCACAGCGCTGTGCGACAACGAAACCACGTGGGTAACCAATCCTTGGTAAACCGTGGCCGGTGTCCGTCCCTGGGAGTTCCGTTAGTGGTATTTGAGTAAACAGTTAGAAGAGCGGAGGAGTAATTACTGACGCTAACGCCCATGGTCAAGGTCAGTTAGTTCGATTTCCTCAGAACGTCACATTCCCGCCCACCTTCTAGGGGGCGGCAGACGAGGAGCTTAAAGAGATGGGAAGGATCGCGAAGCTGGGGCGGGCTGGTTGCGACGCGTTGGCACCACCAGAGAGCTAGCTGCGACGTGAATGCAACTCTCGCAGCACGAAGGGAACGTTTGCATACCGTGTCCAATGGACAGAAGCTGAATGCCAGCAACTTCGGGTGACGAATGGGGAACGTGTAAACGCTTCCCTACGGAGCATGTTCGCGCTATCGTCGGCGGCGATTTAGCTGAATATCGCCGAAGGGGTCGGTCGAATCGACCTCGGTGCCACCGGAGTTGCTAGGTTCGGTGGACTCGATGTTCTCGATCCGCTCGACCATTTCGGGTGCATCGTGCACCACTCGCAGCTTCATGTCAGGATCCATCACCAGGGCATGGTTGCCGCCGTTGCTGTCCGCCGGCAGGATGTCGAGCACGAAATGGTTGGTTCGCAGTGGGGTGTCTTCCTCGCGCATTCCTCGTCCCAATCCGCTAGCGGGCTTAATCACCAGTGGCTCGGCATCTTCAAAGTTGGCGTATTGGCCACGGTGGAGTTCGGCCACGTCCAGCAACTCGTAGCCTGTTGCTGGCTCGCGAACTGAAATGGGCATGTTCATCGCGTCTTCGCGAGCACCGCCTGGAATGAACTCGCCGGCGGCCAATTGGCTATAGAATGGCACCTTGATGGCTGGTGTGGGACTGCCCCAGTTCGAAATCAGGTATTTGAAGTCCCTCGTCTTGACGCTCTTGCCTTCAAACACCATCTCTTGCTCTGCCAGGTGCCGATCTTCGACTTCGAAGTTCGGGTTGTTCACCCACACGCGACCACGGTAGCGGTAAGTCTTCCCTGGTTCGGCCGTGAAGTCGAAAAAGCGAAACATGAGATCGTGAAACTCTTTTTCATCGTTGTCTTTTTTGGGCTTCTTTTCCTTGTTGTTGTTGCCAGCCCTAGGGCGATCTGGGAGTGGAACGTCGCCAGGACCTTCCTCCATCGGGTCAGCTTCCTCTGCTTCTTCCTCCACCTGCTCAGCATCTTCTGGAACTAGCGAGGAATGGGTGGCGTCTTCGCCGAATTTGTGTCCCATCACGGGTGGGAGAGGGAGACATATCTGACGCTCCACATGTTTGCTCTCTACCAGTTCGTTGTTTTGATTGTTCACACCTGCCCACTCTTTGATCTTGTTTTTGGTGGCGCTGGTGTTTACGTCTTCCCAAGGGCCAGGTTTGCCGTCGGTCCCAAGTCCCTGACGCTGAACCTGGTGGTAAATGTACTGAGGCTCTTTGTCATTGTTGGTGGTCTCGATCGCCGCCGCGAATGCTTCCTGATACTCGTCGACCTGGCGAGCCAGCGGAACGATGCCCGTGATGGTGGTCCACACCACTCCGCGGGTGTCGATCACTTCCGCATCGGGGTCGGCAGGCTCTGGCGCGTCTTTCAGTTTCACCGCCCCAATCCCGGCGGAAACTTCCATGTCTTGGGGCGGAAGTATCGTGGGGTTACCACGTTTCGAACCCAGGTCGCGAACGTTCGGGCGTACGATCTTCCGCACGGAGAAAGCATCGAGCTTGCGCGGTTCCAGGTTCTCCTCGATGGGTTGGACTTTGATGGGCCCTGTTTCTGGATTTTCTGGCGGATTGGATTCACTGATATGGCTGTTGGCCATCCGGACATTTTGTTCCAGATCCGACGGCACTTTGTCGTAGGTCTCGTGCATCAGGCCCGAGTAGGCGAAGTACAGCAGAACCAGTCCGAAGATGGCGAACACGACCTTCTCGGTGTGTTGGATTGCAAAGTCTTTGAGCTTTGCCGTATCGAGATTCACCTTGGCCTTCATCGCGATTCTCCTCGTCTCGCACTACAGTTGTAGCGAGAATGTTATTCCGTAAGCTTACGCGCCCGGTTGATCGATTTCGGTAGTCGCCACGGGTGCTTCGGCGTCAGTGGTTTTCAGCAGTTTCGTGTCTGGTGGGTTGAACAGATAGGCCACCCCACGCAAGTCGACGTAGCAAGCGTTGGGCCCTGGCTGCACTGGAAGACTTCCCGAGCTTTCACCTTGATTCCCGCCTCCGCCCCCGCCCTGCTGGGCTTCTTCGTCAACGAACAAGACCTGGCGTGGCTCGACCATCAGAGGGCTGTTCCCACAGGCGACACATAGCTGTGTGATATCACTCTGATCCATCAGAAGACGCATTCGGATGGGGATCAGCTTGTAGACTGCCCCGGACTTCGGCGTAGACAGTGGTTTGCCGGTCGATTCATCGACATAGCGACCATTGAGAAGTTCTTTTTCCGAAGCACCCTTGGTCGGTGGGGAGTCTTTTTTTCCTGAAGATCGAGAAGACGAACTGCTTGCATTGGGGATTTCAATTTCGTCGGCAGCGAGCGCCTGTTGGGCAATTTCGAGGGAAATGATTTGCCGGATAGGAGCGTTGTAATGCTCGGTTACACCATTGTTTGTCTCATTAACAATCTTGAGTAACGCCTCATAGATCCAAAGGTCTTCTTGAGCGAGCAGGATCTCATCAGTCCGCGGAGTACGTCCCCAGCGGTAGCGGTTCTCAAGTTCGGCTCGCCCAGGCCAAGCTACGACTCCGGTGTAGGTGACTTCTTTCTTCTCATCATCGTCGGACGAGTCACTGATCACCTCATGCATCAGGTTGTATTTCTCGATCCAGCTTTCGGGGATGGTGTAGGCCGTGGCGTCATAGTGCGCCCGCAGGTTGACGGGGATGTCTTCCTTTGGCTCGAGGTTCTCGATGGCATCTACCAGATCGTTCTGGAGCTTCTCTCGAGGCCATTCCAAGAGTTCTTGTTGCCGTTCGTACTGAAGTTGCCAAGCCTTGAGAGCCTCGGCCTTGAGTTTCTCGTTTTCGGCGTTGATCTCGTCGGTGAATCGCTCGTTGGGGTGAGGGCTAACGCCCATCACTCCACTGGCCTGCTGGAATGCAGCCTGAATCTTGCCACGGTTAGTCGTGTACTGATCTTCAAGGGCTGCCACGCCCGACTTCCATCCGAGGATGCCAAGCAACAGCAAAATGCCGGAGATTACCCAGAAGTGATATTTCTTCAGGACTTCGAGATATGTCTTAAGCTGATCCATTATTGACCTCCTCCAAGCCCAGCAACTTGGCCGGCATCTGCTCCCGGTTGTGTTTCATCCCCAGGGCGTTCATCCATCCACACAAACTGAACTTCGAAGTCGTATCGTGGCAGTTTTTCGGCATCTGGGTCATCCTTGTCGCCCTTCAGCGCGAATTGCCATTTGATGGTGCCGTGGTCGAGGACCACGGGGTACCCGATGCCAAACTCACGGATGGGGATGGTCTTGCCATCCACCTCGATTGAATCTTTGCTGAGATTGGCCAGGAGAGTCTTGATTACGAAGTCTTTACCACTGTTGGGCAAATTAGATCTGTCGTTGTGGTAATGGAACCCGGTGAGTCGAAAGACCCAGCCCTTGCCTTTAGGGCCAGGATCCTTCTTGGCCATTTGGTTTGGTCCCGTGGGACCAGGAGCAGCCATGTCGTCGGGATTCTCATTGCCATCTTCGCCTTCGGCGTCGCCTGGTGCTGCGGGGGCCTCTTCCGATTCGTCTGTCGGAATGTTGTGTGAGGCGTGATGTTCTTTGATCGAGAGTTCGCTGTTTTCAGGTTTTCCGCTCCACCAACTAGATAAGTTGCCGTCTACGCGAACCGAATCGACGCGATCGATGTACAGCACATTACGATCGGCCAGTTTCTCGGGGCGTTCACCCTCTGGGTCGGAAGGCAGGGCGGCCGTGATCGACTGCCAGAGTTGTGCCCATTCGTAACGGTCGGAACCGGCCGTGGCGATGGTTTCCAGCAGTTTGGCCGTCTTGTCGAATTCAGCCTGAGCATCGGAGTAATCGGACTGGAAGCCATTAGATGTGGTGAATACCGTATTGGCAGAACCCAGATTAAAGTCTTCGACGTCGGCCGATCTCCAAGCCCGGTAGTAGCCGAAGCAACTCAAAGTGAGGCCCAGTAGTAACGCAGCAGCGGCGCCAATCGCCCAGGGCTGCTTGCTGCGGATCATCCGGTCTTGGCGAATTTCCGGCGGCAGAAGGTTCGTTTGGATTGAGCCCTTGGTGAGGCTTTGAACCGCCAAGCCATAACAGGCCGGGAAGCCGAGAATGTTGTTCTTGAACGCGGGCGAATCGACGACGCCGGGACCGCTGAGCGCCCGGAAGCTATCGAGCTTCACCACCGTCTGACCGAGGTTTTGCGATAGGTAGCGTTGCAGGCCTGGCAGTTTCATCGCGTTGCCCAGGCCCACGATGCGGCCGATCTTGGCCGAACGATCGATGTTGGTGAAGTAACCCAGCGAACGCTGAACTTCGGTCAACAGGTCATTGAACACCGGTCGCATGGCCTGGAAAACGGCCTTGGGGTTTTCGGCCTTGGCCGCGTCGCGCTTCAGATGCTCGGCTTTGGCGAACGTGAGTTTCAGTTCTTTGGTGAGCGCCTTTGTGAAGTGATTACCGCCCAGGGGAATGCTTCGCTGCCACACGCGGTAACCGTTCGACACGACGAGATCGGTGGTGTCGGTGCCCAGCGACAGCAGCACGACCGACTCGGGAGGATTCTCAGGATCGTACTCTTCTGGCGGTGGAAGATTGGGGAACAGATCGAAGACGCAGAAGTTGTACAAAGCCAACGGCGTTAACTGAATCAGGTCGACTTCAATGCCCGCTTTGGTGAACGGGGCCATCGCTTGCGTGACCTGATCGTGTCGCATGGCGAAGAGACCAACTTCGGTCTCCAGCGCGAAGCCTTCTTCGACACTGCCGCCGGCCATCTGCTGGTAGTCCCACACCACGTCTTCGATGGCGAAGGGAATCTGCTGCCGGGCTTCGTACTTAACGATGTCGGGAATCTTTTTTGATTCGACCGGTGGCAGCTTGATGAATCGTGCCAAGCCGCTTTGGCCGGGCACGGCGATGGCCACGCGATCGCCACGCACATCATTACGAGATAAGAACTGGCTTAGTGCTTCTGCAACCAAGGCCTCGGGGTCGGCTTCGGGTTGGCTGAGAATCTTTGGGTATTCGATGTAATCGAAGGCATCGGCAACCAGTCGACCGGGCTCATCGCCCATGCGGCAACGTAGCGCTTTGATGGCGCATTGCCCGATATCAATTCCCCACACCGCACCTGACCTAGCCATGGCGGTTACTCCCTCTGTTCCAAGATAAGACCCATCGCCCAATGGGCATGCGACCGTGATAGGCGGCTGCGACCGTGAAAAGGTCGGAGAAATGTAGCTGCGGACACGGTCTACCTCTCCGCTACCACTCTATCGCCCCACGGCCCGAAATTCAACCATATTGCATACAGTGTAACGACATACGCGGATCTTAACGCGAGAGTTCGGGCATTTCCACAAGTGCTAGCAATCGGGGGCGTGAAGGCACTTACGAAGCCCGTCGACCACTCGACGATGGCCATTTGCCCGGCTATCGTGGTCCCTGCTCAGGCGACCGCCCCAGCAGGGGAAACTCTGCGTATCGCTAGGTCCCGGATGCCAGCGACTTAGGCATCTCAGTACAGTCCTGCAGGGGGGTGCTACCTGATTTCGATCTTGCCACGACGACTTTTTTGAGGGCACTGCCAGCATGCGTTTCGCGGAACTGGCCATTCTGCTTCCTTGCCACAGCCTGGAAGACTTTCCGCTTTACCACACCGGCTCTCAGGCCGATGGGCTGCTGGCATGTTTCACCGCCCTTTGGCATCCGGCTTTGTTGGCCAGTGCCAAGAAGATGCCCACCTGGTATCGGGCCGATGACCCTCCGGAGCAACTCAACGGCAGTCTGCTGACAATTCCGGAAGTCAGCGAGACGATCATGCTAGCCGGCTGGACGACCCGAGCGGTGGACGAGGGAGCTTGCGTAGTTCGCCAGACGCACGACCGGGATGAAATCCTGCAGCAGGCTCTGGCGGGCTTGGGCGAAGATGCCCCGAGTGTGGATGCCGAGCTGGCGGCCGACTTTCTGGCTCTCGGGTTTGGCTACCTGCAGATCGAACTGCTCTCGCGACGCATGCGGTACATGAGCAGTCTGGACGAAGTTCAGATCGAGCGGCAAACGCTGGCTGCCGCCGAAGCAGCCGTGGCCGGCGATGTTGAGACGGCCAAGAAGGAACTGAGCGAGTGCTTCGAAGTGCTGACCGAAGCCCGTGAGCGGTTCTACCCGGTGGAGCTGTACCTGGTTGATATCACGCTCACCGCTGAGACGACGCTGGGTGCATCTCTGCGTGCGGAACTGGAATCGCCGCTTCCCACCAACCTGTTAATCTCAGGCCAACTGGTTGACCGCCTGGCGGAGAGTGAACCCGATACGCTGGCCGCCATGCGTGCTGCGTTGGAAGCCGAGACGCTGAGCATCGCCGGGGGCGAGTACGAAGAGCAAGACGCGGCTCTGTTGCCGATGGAGGATGCGCTCGATCAACTTATTGCTGGGCGGGCGGCCTACCAGCGTCACTTGAATCAGATACCCACCATCTTTGGGCGGCGGCACTACGGGCTCGCTCCTTGGATGCCGCAACTTCTCACCCGTACCGGGTTCGATGGCGCGCTTCACTTCACACTCGACGGGGGCAAGTTCGGCAAAACCGAACGCGGCAAGGCTCAATGGGAAGGCATCGACGGAAGTACCATCGAATGCATCGCCCGAGCACCGCTTGATGCGAGTACTGGAGAGACCTTCTTGAAGCTGACCGAAAAGATTGGCGACGCGATGGACGTCGACCAGGTCGCCACCGTGAGCTTCGCGCATTGGCCAGGGCATGTAAGTCGGTGGTACGACGATCTCCGCCGCATCGCTCGCTACGGAACCGCACTGGGGCGATTCATATCGCTCGACGACTACTTCCACTCCACAAACTCGCCGGGATTTCTTTCGCAATTCGATCCGGATGGATATCAGTCCTCGTATCTTCGCAACGATGTAGCGGCCGGCACGGCCAATCCGATTTCACGATTCGTCGACGAACATCGCAGTCGGGCGAATCGCGAGTCGGTGGCTGCCTTGCGAATGATGTCTCACGCGATGGCTGGCGAGATAGACTCGCAGGTGGAGGTCGAGACTAGTGATACCGCTGAAGCAGTTCGCTCCGCGGCTGAAGGGTTGGCCACTCGGCTGACCGCAGGAAGGCCGGCATCGCCGCGAGGTTCTCTGGTTTTGAATCCGCACAGTGGGGCAGTTCGCGACGCGATTGAAACTGCTGCTGCCAGTGGAGCGAAACCGCGACGTGTGGTGAAGGTTCCCGCCCAGGGGTTCACCTGGATCGCAGAAGATGCCCCGCTTCCGCAGCCGTCGAAGAAACAACGCGATTCGATTGTCAAAGATCTCACGCTTCGCAACGAGCACCTGGTCATTCGGATCGACGAGCACACCGGGGCGATCCGTTCGATCTATGAGATTCGCAAGCGGGGCAATCGCCTGTCTCAGCAGATTTCTCTGCGGCAAACCCGCGAGACACATGCTCCTTACCGAAATCAGCATGACGATGGCTCGGAATACTCCGTGATGGTTGCCGACTCGGTCGAGATTGCCCATTCCGATGCGGAGTGGGGGCAGATCGTCAGTCGTGGGCGGCTGGTCGATCTCGAAGCGAAGACCGTGGCCGAGTATCGGCAGACAACCAGCCTCGCCCGGGGAAGTCGGGTTGTGGGGATCGAGATCGAAGTGCAGCCCAAGGTGAAGCCTTCGGGCGATCCCTGGCTGAACTACTATGCGGCTCGCTTCGCTTGGGGCGATGCTGCCGCCGATTTATATCGCAGTGTGGGGATGACGTCGTATCACACGTCGGCCGGCCGCATCGAAGCGCCGCACTTCGTTGAGATCCGTGCCCCGGAAGAGCGAACCGCCATCCTCACCGGAGGGCTACCGTATCATCGTCGCGTTGAGATGCGGATGCTGGACACCTTGCTGATTACTGCGGGCGAGACTCGCACGAAGTTTGAGATGGGCATTGGCATCGGGATTTCGCATCCGCTGCATGCGGCGATGCGTTTGATGTCGCCGTTGCCCGTGGTCGAGTCGCCCGAGCCTGCGCCGAGTTCAAGCTGGTTGTTTCACATTGATGCTAAGAACATCATGACGACCGCCTGGCGCGACATTGTGGAAGACGGCCGGTTGGTTGGTTTTCGCGTGAGGGTGCTCGAAACGGCCGGCCGGCATACGCAGGCCCTGCTGCAGTCGTTCCGCCCGATCGCTACTGCCCGACATGTAACGTTTAGTGGCAGCGTATTGTCGGAACTGCGAGTCGAGAAAGACGCGGTTCATCTCGACCTGACTCGCTACGAATGGGCTGAAATCGAGGCTCGGTATCCAACCGCTGCGGGGTCGCCATGATCGTAACCATCGACGGACCCGCCGGGGCGGGGAAAAGTACGGTCGCAAAACAATTGGCCGCTCGACTCGGTTTTCAGTTTCTCGATACCGGCGCCATGTACCGCGCCGTTGCCTGGGCCGCGCGAGAAGCGAACCTGGATCGGGACGACGCGGAAGCCATCGCCGATTTGGCAAAGCGGATCAACATCGAGTTGAAAGACGATCACGTATTCGTCGACGGCCATGACGTGACGCAGGCGATTCGCACGCCGGCGGTGACTGCCGTCACCGTGCATTCCGCCAGTAATCCCGGAGTGCGAGAGCACTTGGTCGAGCTGCAGCGGGAAATCGCTTCGAAAGCCGATTTCGTGACCGAGGGCCGCGATCAGGGGAGCCTCGTGTTCCCAGATGCGGAATGCAAAATCTTCCTCACCGCGAGTGCGGAGGAGCGGGCAAAACGCCGGGTGGAGGACCTCCACGCCCGCGGGCAAGAAGCCACGCTGGAGCAAGTGCTGCGGGATCAGAATCTTCGCGACGAGCAAGATTCCACCCGTGAGGTTGCCCCGCTCGTTCAACCCGACGACGCCGTGGAAGTGCTGACCGACGGCATGTCGATCGACGAGGTGGTCGATCATCTCGAGACCCTGGTCCGCGATCGCAGCTAATGGCTGAGGCGAACCAGGGATTTGGGCCCTCTCGGCGAAGATTCGCCCAATTGCTTGACCCGCCGGATGGGCCGAATCAGACTGCTAGGCTGTGATTTAAGGCCGATTTGATTGCACACCGAGAGTCGATGAGATGCTGATTCGTGGAATTGCCGCCTTCGTGCTGGGGTTGAGTGTGTTCTGTGCTTCGTGGCTCGAAGCAGCGACCGTGTCGCAGCGGCCAGAGTCATTCACCGACCCAAGCGAAACCGGCAACGAGTATGGATTCCAGGGTGAGTACATCGGCACCGTCACCGGGGGTTATCGCCCTGAGCGCGTGGGCCTACAGATTATGGCCGGCCCCAACCAGACGCTTACCGCCGTGCAATACCCGGGTGGGTTGCCGGGCTCGGGGTGGAACGGATCGCCGAAGATTCGCTACGAGGGCAACTGGGATAATTCGGTCGCCATGCTCCGTGGGGATGGTCACAAACTGGTGATCGTCAACAACGAGGTGTGGATTCTTAGCGGTGGCGATGTAATGCGGGGCATCATTCATAAGATTCACCGCCGCAGCCCCACGTTGGGGCTTCAACCTCCGCCGGGCGCCGACGTGTTGTTCGACGGGCAATCGACCATCCGTTTGCAGGGCGGTCGCATGACCGACACAGGGTTGCTTATGGAAGGCGCCGAAACACTCGATACGGTGGACGACTTCCGGATGCACCTGGAGTTCCGCACACCATTCATGCCTACGGCCGACGGTCAAGCTCGTGGGAATAGCGGTGTCTACATCCAACGTCGGTATGAACTACAGATTCTGGATTCGTTCGGACAAGATCGCGAGTACAACTTTTGCGGTAGCCTCTATAAGACGCGTCCGCCGGATGTGAATATGTGCCTGCCCCCGCTGGCCTGGCAAACCTACGACCTGTGGTTTCGGGCCGCCCGATTCGATGCCGACTTCAACAAGGTGGAAGATGCACGAATTACGGTCTACCACAATGGCGTGAAGATTCACGACGATATTGCGATCCCCAACAAGACCGGCGCCGGCCGTCCCGAGGGCCCGGACCCCATGACGATTCTTTTCCAGGATCACAGCGACCCGGTCCGCTATCGCAATATTTGGCTGGTCAATCAGAGCTATCCGGAAAGTTTCGATAGCGTTTGGCCTTCGCGTGTGTTCCAATGTGCGGAAACTGAGCCTTTGAAGCGTTCACTCGACTTCCTACCCAACACGAGTTCCGATGTTGATCGGCTTACCCGCCAAGAGTTTAACTTCCGCCTTCGCTAAGCCCATCCCCTGGGCCCATGCTGTTGCGCTAGCTGTGGTCTGTTTCGGCACGGGGTGTCAGCAGACTGTGCCACCAGCGGAGCCGTCGGACAAGACCGAAGCCACCACATTTGAACCGGTTCCTGAGGAGACCGCCTGGATCGAGCAGGTTGCCCAGGTCATCGGTGGACAATCCACCCGAATTGAAGTTGAACAGACGGTGGTGTCCGATACGGATCTCGAGCAACTGAGCGATCTGGCGAACCTCGAGGAACTGGTGATTGCCGAAAGCAAGATAAGTGATCGGGGGTTGGCCCGGCTGGCCTCGTTGATCTCTTTGAAGACTCTGAATCTCGGTAGTTCCGAAATCACTGACGAGGGGCTGAAGCACCTGGTTGCGTTGGAGAACCTGGAGCTTCTGCGGCTCACGAATTCACGAATTGATGGCTACGGCTTTGATCATTTGAAGCTCTTGCCGAATCTCAAGTTCCTGATTCTCAATGATTCTCCCATCGAGGATGAAGGTCTTGTGCATATTGAGGAGATGCCTCAGCTCGAGTCATTCTACGTGGAAGGTAGTAATGTGAGCGACGAGGCCATCGAGAAGCTCCAGAAGTCACTGCCTCAGTTGCATATCCACTGGTAGAATCACTCACTACTGTCGTCTGTAGCGCACGTAGACGAACCTCGCCTGAAGCATTCGTCACACCAATCACTCAACCCGAACGGGATTGATCATCATGAAGACCCACCGCAAAGCTCAAGTCGTGTTGGCCGCCTTGTTACTCTTGGCCGCCGGCGGATGGATGTGGACCTCGCTGGTCGGTCCAGGTGTGAACATGACTCAAGCGGCACAGCAGTTCTTAGACACACTCAGCGAAGAGCAACAGGCCGAAGCCGTGATGCCGTTTGACGGTGGCCCTCGCTTGGGATGGCACTTCATACCCAAAGACGACCGCAAGGGCTTGCAAGTCAAGAATATGGACGAGGCCCAGAAGGAGGCCGCCTTCAAGCTTCTTTCCAGCGCACTGAGTCAGGTTGGCTATAAGAAGTCGCGGCAAATTATGGAGCTGGAAGCAATTCTGCACGAGTTGGAGAAAGACCAACCGGGCGGGAACATTCGCGACCCGCAACGTTACTACTTCACGGTCTTCGGCGATCTCGAATCGAAGTGGGGTCTCAGTGTCGAGGGGCATCACCTGTCGCTCAATTTCGTGGTCGATGATGGCCAGGTTGTCGCTCACACGCCGGCGTTCCTTGGGGCGAACCCTGCAGAAGTGAAGTCGGACGTTGGCGTCGGGCCTCCCAAGGGAACCCGTACGTTGGCCAAAGAAGAAGACTTGGCCTTCAAGCTGTTAAATTCGTTCGACGATTCGCAGCGGAGCCTGGTGGTGATTGACGATAAGGCTCCTCGCGAGATGCGAGCCGCTGGGGAGCCGCATGCTCCCGACTCGGCACCCGAGGGGTTGGCCGCCAAGGATATGAACGAAAACCAACTCGGCACGCTGTGGGCGTTGATCGAGACTTACCTGGAAAACATGCCGGCCAGCGTGGCGGATGCCGAGCGGAAGAAGATTACCGAAGCCGGCATCGAGAAGGTCCACTTCGTCTGGGCCGGAGCAAGCCGTCCGGGTGTGGGGCACTACTACCGGGTGCAAGGTCCCACCTTCTTGATCGAGTTGGTCAACACCCAGCCCGACGCCGAGGGAAACCCGGCGAATCATATCCATTCGGTGTACCGCGACATGTCGGGCGATTTCGGTGTCTCGCGGTAAGAGCCGACTTCGGGCACTTAGCCGAGTTAGCCACCACGGATTGGGTTTACTGCGATGACTCGACGGATCGTGCAACTCACCGATCTGCACATGCTGCCGCAGGTTGATGAGCGGCTGCGCGGCGTGCCAACCGTTCGCGTGGTGGCCGATGTGTTGGCCCATCTGCAGCAGCACGTTCCTGAGCCCGATCTCCTGATCATTTCCGGCGATTTGGCCCAAGAAGAAGCCAAGGCCACCTACCGACGCTTGGCGGAGATGCTCGAACCGTGGGCTGGGAAGCTGCGGATGATTCCAGGCAATCATGATGATCGCCACGAAATGCAGGCGGTCTTCTCACGCGATCTCACTGTGGTTGATGAGCGGATTGTGTTCAGCGAGCCTCTCGATGCCTGGCGGCTGATCGGGCTCGATTCGCTCGAGCCTAGCCAGGTTGCTGGGTTTGTAGGGCAGGAACAACTTGCCTGGCTCGACGGGGAGCTAAGCCAGCGGTCCAACACGCCGACGATTCTGTTCGTGCATCATCCTCCGGTGTCGGTCGAGACTTCCTGGTTCGATGTCATCGGGCTGCTCGATGCCGAGAATCTCTGCGAGGTGATTACGCGACATCCTCAGGTCAAGCTCGTCTGCTGCGGTCACGTACATTTCGAGTTCGCCTCTTCGATTGCTAGCACTCAGGTGCTGACCACTCCGGCGGCCTCGTTTCAGTTTGCGCCGCACACACCGAGCCAGGAGTACGATCTTCTGCCGCCGGGGTATCGGGTGATCGAACTCGAGGGGAGCGAGTTTCGTACTCAGGTAGTCCGGCTACCGAAGTTGGATTATCCACCTCGCTAGCACACAATTGCCAGCAGGGGCATGCCTTGACCTGCTGCGTGGGAAAGGACTAGAGTCTGCCCGTCCGCAATCGCGGGCGTGGCATTCGAGTGCCATCGTTGCTGTCACGTATGGAATTGCCGCGGTTTCGGGTCGAAGAAATCGATCGCTCAGGATGGGCTCTGCATTATGCCGCTTCTGGAAGCTAAAGGCCTGGTGAAGATCTACGGACGCCGTCGCGTGGTCGACGGAGTTAATTTCGAGGTCGAGCCGGGTGAGATTGTCGGATTGCTGGGCCCCAACGGTGCCGGCAAGACCACCAGCTTCCGCATGACCTGTGGGATGATCGCCGCCAACGCCGGCAGTGTGCATTTGGGCGGCCAAGAAGTGACGAACTGGCCCATGTACCTTCGTGCCCGCAACGGAGGAATGGGGTACCTGGCACAAGAAGCGAGCGTTTTTCGCAAGCTCACGGTGGAGAAGAACCTGTTGGGCATGATGGAAATGCTCGGCATCGATCGCCGCACGCGGCGCCTTCGCTGCGATGAGTTGCTCGAGCAGTTCAAGATTTCGAAGCTGCGGAAGTCGATGGCCCTTTCGCTCTCCGGCGGTGAACGTCGCCGACTGGAAATCGCACGTTGCCTGGTTTCCAATCCCAAGATTCTGCTGTTCGACGAACCTTTCACCGGGATCGATCCGGTGACCATCGCCAGCATTCAAGATTTGGTCCGCGGCCTTCGCGATCGGGGTATTGCCATTCTGATTACCGATCACCAGGTGCGCGAAACACTGCAGATTACCGATCGCAGTTACGTCATTCGCGACGGGCAGGTTCTCTGCCACGGGTCGCCACACGATGTGGTGAATCATCCCGATGCACGGAAGTACTATTTCGGAGACTCAATCGATATTGGTCCCGCTGGGGATCGGCCGGTGCAAGGAATGCACCACAGCGAAGCCCGATCCGTTCCGCTGACTCGCAAGTAACGGCTTATTCGTGCACGTACCAGATGCACGCCCGTAGCTGCGTTCAGTCCAGTCTTTACTCGTTCGGTCGAACCGCGAGCGCAAGATGCGATTTCTCTTTCCACACCAAGTCCGCCATTGGCTATTCATTCTAGTTGTGCTTTGCACTGCAGGTCTCGTAGCGTGGGGGAACGACCGCACGGCCGCCCCACCCGCAGCCGGTACGAAGATCGCTGGGCAGATCTCTGCTGAAGCGGCCGATTGTTCGTCGCTCCGCGTGGCCACCTTTAACATCCACGGTGGTAAGGGGGAGGACGACCAACGCGACCTGGACCGCATTGCCACCACATTACAAGGCTTCGACCTGATTGCCGCGCAGGAAGTCCACGGAGGCTCGCTGGTTGGCTCGCCCGATCAGGCGGCCATTCTGGCGAATAAGCTCGACTTGGCCTGGCTGTATGCTCCGACCGAACGCCGCTGGTGGAGCGATGCATTTGGGAATGCGTTGCTCACTCAATTCCCCATCAGCCGGTGGGAGCGAATCCCGTTGCCTTGTACGCAGGGCAAAGCCTATCGCAATGCAGTCGTTGCTGAAGTTCAGTTGGGGCAGACATTAGTCAATGTGCTGTTCACGCATCTCGATCGCCACGAGGATCGCGAAACTCAGTTACGGGAGGTGATTCAGCTTTATCGCGAGTTGCCTTCGCCGGCCATTTTGATGGGCGACTTGAACACCGATCGTCACGATCCGCTTTGGGCTGAACTGCTGGAGGAGCCGGCGGTGATCGACGTGCTGAGCCAGGGCGATCAGGCGGCCGACAATCATCTTCGCATCGATTGGATTGTCGCTCGCGGGATGGAAGTGGTCGATGCCGGAGTGAAGGACGATGGGGCTTCCGACCATCCTTGCTACTGGGCCGAACTCCGTTTGCCAGAAGATCGAGTGGCCCGACAGCCGCAAGAAACCTCACCGCCACAGTAACTGCGAGCCCATCCGATGGCGGAAGACTACGAGCCAATTGTCGCGCCCACGTCATCGGCTGAAGCCACTGGGCCGATCTCGCCAGAGCGTTCTGGTGTCGGTCTAACTTCCCACTCCTGGTCGCGCGACTGCGACGAGGCTGCCGCTGAACTCTTGCGGCAATATCAGGCAGGTCGGTCGGAATGTGAGCCAAGAAGGCTTGGCTTCACTACAGTTCTCAGCGTGATGAAAAACCTTGCAGGCGAGTTCATCGGTCCATTGCCAGTGGGTGCTTGGGTGTTATTGCTCGCCGTAAGCGGCCTCACCTTCGGATACAACCTGGGCGGTGCTCGCGCCCTGACCGAACACGAAACTTACGTCGCTGGCCCTGCGAAACAGATGCTGACCGACGGCGATTTTCTGTTGCCTCGAATTGGCGAGCATCTTTGGGTCGAGAAGCCTCCCTTGCCGTATTGGCTTAGTGCGGCGGCCTGCTGGCTCTACGGCGAGTTCTGTGAGTGGACCGTGCGGCTGCCATCTGCATTGGCCGGAATTGGCGTGGTGTTGATCGTCGCTAGCCTGAACTCGCGCTGGTTTGGACCTACAGTGGGGCTTCTGGCAGGACTCGCTCAGTCCACCTTTGTCTACATGGTTAGCTACGCGCGGCTGGCTGAAGCCGACATGGTGTTGGCCTTGATCGTGGTGGCGGCCATCGGGGCCTTCGATCGCTTTCGTTCGGCGGTGGATGAGGGCAGTTGCACAGCGATCCGGCGATGGCGGGCTGCGTTTTGGGGTCTGATTGCAATCTCGGGCTTAGCGAAGGGGTTGCTGTTCGGGGCGGTGCTGGTGGCCGCGCCTTGCCTGGTGTGGGACATCTGGAATCGTCGTGGTGCGATCTCGCGGAGAATGTTCTCCCTGGCTGGCATAGCGTTTGTCCTGCTGGTATGGGCTGCGTGGCCGGCCTTGGTTGTGGCGAGAGAGCCCATCGCTCTGGAGATTTGGTACGACCATCTGTTCGGCCGCATCTCGGGCAGGATCGATTTCAACGTTAAGCCGGTGTGGTACTATCTCACCACCTGGCCGTGGCAGATGTTGCCGTGGACGCCGATGTTGCTCGTGGCCGCGTGGCCTTCGTTGAGACGGGCATGGCAAAGCGACCGGACGCCGGACCGGTTTCTGTGGTGTTGGGCGCTGGTGCCGGTGCTGGTGTTATCGATTTCTCGCGGGAAACATCACCACTACCTGATCTACTCGCTGCCGGCATTGTCGTCGATTGTCGCTCTTGGGCTAATGGAGTGTGGGCTTCGCATTCGAGAGCAAACGCACCACACGCTGGGACTCGCCCGATTCTATAGCTTTGCGTTGGCTCCTTGCGTGCTGGTGGCGGGTGTTGTGAGTGCGATCGTATGGTCTGAGTATCGTCTCGACGCGGCCGTTGTCTCGTTGGTGCTTGCCGCGGCGGTAATGCTATTGGGATACGCATCCTCGCGACGAAAAACGATGCTGTCTTACGTTGCCGTGGCCTTCCCAGTTGTGTTGGGAATTCTCTACGTTCACGCCCGAGTGCTTCCTTCGCGCGACCCTTCGCTGGCCGATCGGGAGTTTCTGCAAAGAGTCGAAACACAACTTCCAGCCGGCGTTGTTCCGATTGTTTGTGGCAGCGGCGACGTGTATGGCCGGGAGATCGCCCGACATATTTTCTACCTCGATCGCCCCGTGGTGCCGGTGTGGTACCCGGATCGACTTGGGCCGTGTGAAGAGACGACCTTCGTAGTGACGCGGCGAAGTGCCCGCTCGTCTTTGGCCAGCTTGGGACAGGTGTCTGAATTGGCGGCCAGTACGCACTCGCGAGGTGAACAGGGCCCTAACGATCGATTCGTTCTGCTGAAGATCGAGCCTTCTCACTCGGATACGGCCGAGTTCGCTTCCGGTGGCCGGATGCAACTGCTACCGTAGTTAGATTGTCGGCCGTGTGCTGTCGACGACGCTACGACAAGGCTCTCCATGCAACAGTCGCCCCTCAATCGCGTTCGCCAGTATTTCAGTTCACCTGTCGACAGCGGAAGCCTGGCCGCATTCCGCACTGGTTTCGGTGCGCTCACGGCGTGGATGATCTACGGGTTTTTGCGAACCGAAGGTGATGGGCCGAGTGGTCTGAGTTTCTTGTTCACTCCACCGGAGACGACCTGGACTTTCCCCTACTTCGGGCTGAGTTGGGTGACACCGCCTGCTGAACCATGGACCACAGTGATGTTTGTGGTCTGCTTCGTGTCGGCTTGTCTGGTTAGCTTAGGGCTGCTCTATCGACTGGCCAGCATCGTGCTGTGTCTGACGTATTGGCACATTGTGCTGATGGACGCCACGCTGTTCGGGAATCACTTTCCGTTGGTGGGTGTGTTTGCCGTGCTGCTGGTTCTCATTCCTGCTCACCGTCGCTACTCGCTCGATCGCCTGATTGTCGCTGGATTCTGGCGAAGGAAGTTTCCCACGACGCTTAGCTTCTGGTGCGTCTTCCTGGTGCGTGCGCAGACCTTTCTTATTTATTTCTATGGCGGAGTGTCGAAGCTGCACGACGACTGGCTGCGGGCCCAACCGTTGAAGATGTGGCTTTCGCCGACGGGGCTGTATCCGTTTTTCGGGGATAAGCTATCCGAAGAGAACTTCACCCGGCTGAGCGATTTTCTGTCGCAGGAGTACGTCGCCTACTTCTTCTCCTACGGCGGGCTGATTTTCGATCTCACGATTGGCTTCCTGCTCGTGTTTCGTCGCACTCGCTGGCTGGCGTTTGCTTTGGCCACCGGGTTTCACGTGTTCAATTATTTCGTGATCCAACGCGTGGGGTTGGTGGCCCCCATTGCCTTTTGGGCCACCCTGATGTTCTTCGAACCCGACTGGCCGACGCGACTCTGGAATTTCATTCGTCGTCCCCGCTTTGCGAAGCCCGACTTGGCGTGGTTGATCGCTGGGGCGATTGCAGTTCCTGGGGTTGGAGCGCTGCTGGGATGGAAGGCGAAACCGTACGCTTCACCCGCAACTTCGTCAGTGGCCAGCAAACTCGGCTGGCCGGTGTTTGCGATTGGGGCTGCTTGGCTGGTATTCCAGACGTTGTTTCCCGCCCGGCATTTTTTGATTCACGACGATCCGTACTGGACCGAGCGGGGTGTGCGGTTCAGTTGGTTCTTGATGACTCGCAACAAAGTTGGCGGTTTCGCGCGCATTCGCGTCGAAGACCCCGGGCTCGTTCGCACCGACGCCAACGGACAGCAGGAGTTCGCGTGGGAAAACTACCAGGGCGAACTGCCGCCCGTGGTGTACCACGATGTGGATGCTCGCACGGTTACGTGGAGCGACCTGCCGGAGTTCTTCGTCACGTTCGAACCGATGATCGGCGAACGGATTTTCTTCAATCCCATGGCCGCCGGGCTGGTGAAGTCGGCGGAGATCGAAGAGCACGTTCAGAAATACTGGCGAAGGACCTACGGGCGCTCATGCGAAGTGTTTTCCACGTTTCCGTTGCGGCGGCAGTTGCGATCGGTTCGCCGCAACGCCGCCATCGCGCTTCAGGATGAAGAGCCGGGAGCCCGACACTACCTGCATGTCGTGCTCCAGGCTGACGAGCGTGCGAAGGAGCTGATGGCCTCGGACCTCAACGAAGACGCTTTCTATCAACGCTTCTTTGCTTTTAAAGAGTCGCTGTTCGCTTTCCAGCGGCTAGGTCCCTTCTACGAACCGCTCGCTCGGCTGCTTCTGCAGGTATCTCCCTTTGCTTTGCAGGGGAACCCGGCCTCGGGACTGCGGCCGATGCTGGTCTACGACCCCGAGTTGATGCTGTCTGCACCATACGTATTTCAGCGACTCGACCGTGAGCAATGGCAGGGTGAAGCGACCGCACACGCCGACTTCAACCTGATGCCGTGGCAGTTCATGATGGGGCTGCCTCGCGTGCTGCCGGCCTATCGTCAGGCGGAGCCGCCTTGGTTCGTTTGGAACTACGGACGGGAATTGAATGCCCATCAGATCGAAGCCATGGAACTGATGCCGATGGTTGTGCACAGCTACGCTCAGCATGTGGCCGAATTGTGGGAAGCGGAACAAGGTCGGCGACCAAGGGTCTTCGGCACCACCTTTGTCATTTTGAACGACCGGCCGATGCAGAAGATCGTCGATCCGAGCGTGGATCTGGCCGCGGCCGCGTATTCGCTGTTTGGCGAGAACCCCTGGATTCTTCCCACACCCCCACCACCTGTGGTGGAAAGCGAGGCAGAAGAGGAAGAACCTGAAGCCTCGCCGGCAACCTCCGGAAGCTAAGATCTCGAATTACGCGGCAGTTTCCCAAAAAATTCGCACGCGAGCCCTTCTCTTCGCAGGGCGATCGCCACTTCGCCCCTCTTGGACTTGTGCGCTGATCTTCATACGATACGATGTTATGCTCTGGCACCCGCCAGAACGCCCCCTTAGCTCAATTGGCAGAGCATCTGACTCTTAATCAGAGGGTTTTAGGTTCGAGTCCTAAAGGGGGCACTTTTTCTCTTGCGACGACTGTAGGATAGCAGAGCGCACGATTTGCGGTGCTATCGCCAAGGCAGTGCTCAAAGGTCTTCGCGTTTCTCACCAAAGCCTAGTCTGTTTGGCGGTCTCTACAACTCAGCCGCTGGTGCTGACTTCGCCCGGTTGGTCCAGATCAGGAGCACGATCAGGCCGGACCACACCACCCCTAGCATCAACGAAGTGGCCACTGGGGCGAGCTGTACGGCGGGGTTGTCCATGAGGTCGAGTACCGATTGGTTTACGGACAGTCCTCGCGATTCGCGGCTGGCGACTAGCAGTTCTTTCGCCACCTCGGGCCGCTGCATGGCAACTGCAGTTCCAATGCTGGTTTCGGTCAGTCCTAGAAAGATGGCCCCGAAGGCGAACAGGTAGCCAAGTGACAAGGGTTTCCAGACCCAAAAGATACCGATCGCCTGGCAAGCCATCGTGACGACCATCAGCAGAAAGAATAGCCAGGTTAGATTGGCCGCATCGAACAAACCTCGATCAAGCGATTCGGGCCGCAAGAGCAGGTCGAGATTCTTCGTGAAAGACCATCCGAAGACGATGGTCAGAAAGATACGCACGATTTTCATTTAACAGTCGCCTAAAAACATTGCCCACGATCCCTTAAAAGCCGCTTTGATCACTCGGGTTTAGTCTTTCCCGCTGCCATCGGCAAGTCGGGCACGCTGTGACGTGGCGTCTTGTCAGCGGTATTCCGGATGGGTCCATACCGTGGCTTAGTGGCCACAGTTAGGTTTTGATGGCCGGGCGATTACAATGGCATCGGGTCCGATCACAGTCTGAGAGATACGCTATGAGCCAGTACGATCAATTCTTACAGGAACATCGTGAGCTGACGCGACGCTACTTCATGAAGCTCGGTCTTGGCGGGCTATCTACGGCGGCGCTGCTTGGGCAGGGAACTGGTACAGCAGTGCAGGCCAGCCCTTTGTTTCCCGATGCGGAAGAGCAATCGGCCCGATTCGCTTCGTATTTCACACCCGACGAGTTATTTGGCGATGTCTCGCGGGGCGATCCTTTGCCGCATTCGATCGATGAGGATAAGCGGAAAGAGGTGGGGCTAACGCGCGATACGTGGCAGTTGGAGGTGATCTCTGATCCGGATAACCCGGTGAAGCTGGGAAGCCCGCGCACCAAAGCCGACGGTACGGCGATTGATTTCGACACGCTGATGAAACTGGCCGAAACCCACGCGGTGCGGTTTCCCAAGATCATGACGTGCCTGAATCTTGGTTGCCCGTTGGGGATGGGGCTGTGGGAAGGCGTTCCGCTTCGCGAACTCATCGCGTTGGCCGAGCCGCGGAGAGATGTGCGGCGGGTTTTCTTCTACGGCTACCACAACGACGACCCCGAGCAGATGTTTCGCAGTTCGCTGCCAATCGGTCGGGTGCTGGAAGACTACTTCAACATGCCTCCGGTGATTGCCTGCTACAAACTCAACGGCGAGTGGCTCAGCCAGCAACGAGGTGGGCCGGTGCGGGTTGTTGTGCCCGAGCACTATGGCTTCAAGTCGATCAAGTGGCTGTCGCACGTCGTGCTGACGAACCTTCCACACGCCAACGACACCTACGCCGAGCAGGGGAACAACGTCGACAGCCCCATGAAGACCTTTGCCGCCACGATTGCGGCCCCGCGTGAAGTGAAATCGGGCACGCCCATCGAATTGACCGGCTACGCCCAAGTGGGCATTGGCGGGTTGAGCAAGGTCCAGGTGTGGATCGAGCAGGATGGTGCCGATCGGCCCGAGGATGACACTTATTTTTCGAAGGCCCCTTGGGTCGATATGGAAATTCTCTCGCCGCCAAAAACTTGGGGTGGAGGTTTGCCAGACGACAAGATTCCTACAGGCACCCATGGATTCGATTCCGATACGGGCCTCCCGCGGGAGTGGCCCATGCGGTTCTGCGCAGTGCATTGGGCCGGCGTCTATCCGAGTCTTGCCCCCGGCGAATATACTTTGCGGTGCCGCTCGGTCGATGCCAATGGAATTGGCCAACCGCTACCACGGCCATTCCGCAAGGGCGGACGATCGGTGATCGAGCAGATCACCCTGAAAGTTACCTAGCATCGACCGGCACCTCACTCCGCAACGCATCGCTAGTTTCGACATCGCATGACCAGTCCGCCATCGCTTTCCCAGGTATCGCTCTCGCTGCGATGGATCACCGGGGCCGTACTGCTAACGGCGTTGTTCGCGGCGCTGGCATTGTTGACTCCCAGCATGCAGCTTCCTCCCGGACGGTATCCGTTTCTGGTTGCCGCTTCCACGGCGTTCTTAGTGGTGGCCTGGCTTGCTGGAGCTTGGAACAGCAACTATGGTCGGCTTGTGTTTGTGGCGTTGGTGTTCTGCTGGTTGGGGGATGTGCTTGGCCCATACAACTTCGCGTTGGGCGCTGGGATGTTTTTGCTGGCGCATGTGGTGTTCGTCGCGGCCTTCGTGGCCTTCGGGCTGAACTTGAAGAAGTGCCTGATCGCTCTGCTGACGATCGTTCCCAGCGGAGTGCTCTTGTGGTGGTTGTTGCCGCAAGTTGAACCGTCGATGCGGCTGCTGGTGGCCGCGTACACTACGGTGATTACGGTCATGCTGATCACCGCGGGCGGAACCACTCGGTTCATCTTTGCGGCAGCCGTGGTGTTCTACGTGTCGGATATCTTCGTGGCCCGATGGCGGTTTGTGGACCACGATTCGGCGAACGCCTTTATCTGCTACCCGCTGTATTACACGGCGTGCCTGATGTTCGCCATTTCCAGCGGTGTCTCGAAAGGCCGCACACTACCCCCGCCGACCGATTAACGCTTGCCAGGGTGGTGTCGGGCTTTTCGGCGCGAGTGTCGGAATTATCGACAATTCCCGGCCATGCGGCGGATGGCCACCGGATTTGATGGGTCTTTCGTGCGGCTATTTGTGCCCATCCTCACAGGCACAGGGTTTGCAACCCTAGCCGATCCATGCCTACCGCGAAACAATAGCAAAGTAGGTTTATGGAGTAGCATTAGTAAGGCAAACAGTGTTTGCACTTCTCCCGTATGCAAAGGGAACCTTGATGTCACGTCTTGCGATATTCAGCGCGTTGTTGGCCGTTTCGGTTTTCGCGGCCGGTCCTTGTTTTGGGCAAGATGCTTCGGAGTCGAATGAGACCCTCAAAAATATTTCGGAACAAGGTCTGAACTTTCTCCGCACCCAGGGGCAATCGCCAGACGGTACATTCTCTTCGCGGGTAGGTTCCGGCATCACATCGCTGGCCGTCACGGCGGCATTGCGACACGGGGTTTCTTTGGATGATCCGCTCGTGGCGAAGGGTCTTAAGGCCCTTGAAGGCTTTGTTCAGCCCGACGGCGGCATCTACTCCGGCGATCGATTGCGGAACTACGAAACCTGTGTGGCGATGGTTGCGTTCAGCGAGGCTAATAAAACTGCCGGCGATGGTCGTTACGACACCATTCTCGACAACGCCGAACAGTTCGTGCGTGGGCTGCAATTCGGTGCCGCGGGCAACACCGACGAAAGCGATCCGCGTTACGGCGGTGTGGGCTACGGCGGACCCGAGCGGCCAGACCTTTCGAACACCAGCTACCTGGTCGACGCCCTCAAGGCGGTTGGTGCCGACGACAACGACGAGGCTATTCAACGGGCACTGATCTTTGTGACGCGTTGTCAAAACCTGAAAGGCGAAGGGAATGATACGCAATTCGCCGACAAGGTGAACGATGGTGGCTTCTACTATGTGATTCCCACCGAGAAGGTCGACCCATCGACTTCGGATCGGTACACATCCAACGGTGGTTTGCGTAGCTACGGCTCGATGACTTACGCGGGGTTCAAAAGCCTGGTGTATGCGGGGCTGACCAAAGAAGACCCGCGAGCGAAGGCAGCCCTGGACTGGATTCGCAATAACTATTCGGTTCAAGAGAACCCAGGGCAGGGCACTGCGGGGCTGTTCTATTACTACAACACGTTTGGCAGTGCGCTGGGTGCTTCGGAACTGGAAGTGATCGACACCACCGACGAAGGCAAGCGGAATTGGCGAGAAGATCTGGTAGCCGAACTGGCGAGCACTCAGCACGATGACGGTTCGTGGACCAACGCCAACCGGCAGTGGCTCGAGAACGACCCGAACCTTTGCACGGCGTTCGCCTTGCTGGCCCTGTCGTACTGCAACGATCCGCCCGCGGCAGAATAGCAGGCGGGCACGGTCGCCATGGAGATTCTGCAAGTCGCCCCCGAGCTACCACTGCCGACTGAGGTACCGGTGCGGCGACGTGTTCTCAATCGGGTGTTCATTCTTGCCTGGGTTGTGAACATCATCCTGTTGCTGGCAGCCCTGGAGTATGTGATGACCCAGGGTCAGGCACGCACCAACGTGGAGCTTTTCCAGCAAGTGCTCGGCGGAAAACCGGTCTCAGAGTCGGTGATTCGCAATGAGTCGCAATTGCCGTTATCGGTGAAGTTGGGTGTGCCGGGCACGTTTGTCGCCGGGCTGTCGCTGCTGGGGATGATCGCCAGCCTGTTTGTGGGCACTCCCGGCATGCGGAAGATGCGAACGTGGCTACTTCTAACGGCCCTGATCGCCGGGTGGATGGGTCTGATCGTCGGTTGGCAGCCGCTCTACTGGTATGGTCAGCAGTTCCGGCTGGGAGCTTACGTGGCCGAGTTCGAAACGTTCGCCCGCGAAGTCGACGCTGGTTGGCCTCACGAGGATGGAGAGTTTCCCGACGTCGGTGTTTACCTCGCCTACCCTCGTGCAACCCCCACCACGTTGCTTATGCTCGGCGAACCAACCCTTCCCGGCACCCAGCTAGTCTTCTCTTCCATCGACCGTTCGAAGTCCGCAGTCATCCGCTTCGAACTAGCCGCCGCCGAGCGCGGAGCCTGGCTGGAATATCATCCCGAAGGGTCGTGGCCCGAGAGCTTTACCGATGGGTTGGATACGCACCACGAGTTGCTGGATGCGGCCCAATTATCGCCGCAGGTTTATTGGGCGAGATATCGGTCGGGCGTGGCGGAAGTGAACTTGTAGCCTAATTTATGAAATGATTCACTAGCCAAGTCCCTGCCCACAGTTATCGCAGAATCTAGCCTCGGGGTCGTTTAGTTCGCCGCATTGTCCGCATGTGATCGACTTGCTGAGAGCGGTGCCGCAGCTCTTGCAGAAGTTGGCCGTATCGTCATTGGTTTCGTTGCACTTGTGGCAACGAACGACCTGCGCCTCGCGGTCGGCGGTGGAACCGGAAAGGCCCTCTCCCACAGCAGAGGCGAGATCTCGCACCGAGTCCCGCGTTCCTGCGACCATGTAGTTGGTGAGGTCTTTCCCGACGGGGGCCACCTCGTTAGCCATGTAACGGCTCGTCGCGCCCAAGAAGCCGAACCGGGTCATCCAACTGCCGAGGGCTAGGAGTGGCATACCGACAAACGCGCACCAGAAGTAGCGCGGCGGCTCAAACGTTCCGAAAGAGCTAAAGAAGCTCACCATTCCCACAAGGATAAACAGGCTACCAATGCCGATGACTATCGGGCCAAGCCTGCGGAGGAGATCGCGATTTTTTCTATGATCCGAACCCGTGGGTTGCAGCATGGCGATTTCTCCACCGGACTTAATATTAACGATAGCTAGGCGGCATTCTATACATGCAAAAGCAAGTCCGTTGATTCTCTGCCATTTGCAGATGGGTTGCAACTTTTCAAGATCATCGTTCGCCTTGCCTGCTTCATGAGTTATTCAGCTCGAACACTCGCCCCGCGGCGATGAACACTCGATCGAACAGCCCGAAGCCGACGCAGAACAGTCCCCAAGATATCGGGATGATTTCGAAGGGGGACAATCGTTCTGGTGTACGGCTGTTACCCTCTTGTGCATTTCCATCGAGACGTGGTGCTTCGGCGGCCATGATTAGTTCTAAGAGCATCTGAAAACTCTCGGACCACACGAAGAAAATCACCGCGAAGCCTCCGGTGATTGCGAAGACGTGGCGGATGGATAGCTTCTCGAAATGCAAAATACGCTCGCAAGCCCACAGAGTGGCGAAGATGATTGCCAGCGAAATGAGGAGATCGAAGATCAGGGCTGCGTAGTCGATGGAGTCAATGTTGAATCGCCCACGCCAACTCGTGGCGAAACAGATGGGCCATCCGTAGATGAACCAACTTGGTCGTAACAACATTCGCTCGTTGAACGGGTATCGATCGGTCTGAACATTCCACAGACCCCATACTGCGATACTGGTGAGGATTAGCGTTACTGGATGAACTCGCAACCATCCCCAGCGAGACGATACTTCTCGTTGTTCTCCAGAGTCGTTGCTGTCCACCATCGTTAGGGCTCTCCGTAGTGAAGGAGAGCGGGACTTACAGCCCCACCCGTTTCGCGTACTCCTCCCATTGCTGGGCCATGTCCTCTAGTCGTTCCGGGTATTTCTCGGCCAGGTCTTCGGTTTCGCAACGATCGAAGCTGAGGTCGTACAGCTCCCACTTATTTTCCCACGGCATGCGTTTGCCCCACACGGCTTTCCAGGGGCCTTGCAGCACTCCCCGGGCGGCCTGATGTTCGAAGTAGATGGGCCGCTCGGGAAGTTGCTCGCCGGTGAGCGCGGGCAGCAGGCTGATGCCTTCTTCCGGGGTGATGTTGTTTCCGTGGGCTTGGGTCGGGTAGTCGGCGTTGGCCACATCGCGCAGCGTCGGCATCACATCCATCACGTGGCCGGGTTGGCGGATCCAAGTGTCGCTGGGCTCAATCGCCTGGGGCCAATGAGCGATGAAGGGCGTGCATACGCCACCTTCGTGGGTGAAGTGTTTGTAGAGCCGCAGCGGAGTGTTCCCCAGGTTGGCCCAACCGCTGCCGTAAGAGTGATGCGTGCCGGGTCCGCCCATCTTCTGCAATTCGTCGCCGGTGTGCAGATGCGTGATTCCGCGGCGGCTTTGCCCGTCGAATCCGAAGGGGCCCCACTCGTAACAGGCCCCGTTGTCGCTGAACAGCAGGATCAACGTGTTGTCGAAATCGCCGGTCTGCTTGAGGTGCGACACGATTTCGCCGACACCCCGGTCGACATGTTCGACCATTGCCGCGAACAACGCCATCCGTCGGGCGAGGTCCCGCTGGCGATCTTCATCCAGGCTTTCCCACGCGGGGTTCGACTGCCCGGGGTACCCGTTGGCGATGGGCTCATCATCCACCGGCACCATCGAGCGTTCGGTTAGCTTCCAGCGGTCGCCGTCCACCAGGCCCAGGTCCTGCATTCTTTGGAAACGCTCCTCGCGGAGCACATCCCATCCACTTAGATAGGTGCGGTAATACTTGTCGGCCGTTTCGGCGGGGGCTTGCACGGGGAAGTGCGGCGACGAGTGGCCTAAGAACAAGAACCACGGCTTTTCTTTCTGCTGACCTTGTTTGATGAACTCGAGGGCATACTGATTGAACACGTCGGTGGCGTAGAACTCACCCTGCGGCGGGTCGATCTCTTTCTTGCGGCCCGCTGGCAGGCGTTCGTAGTAATCTGCATCCCATTGGTCGTGAGAGTGATCGAACGTGTAGCCGTAGAACTCGTCGAACCCACGACGAATTGGTCCGGTCTCGGGATGAAGATGCCATTTGCCGACGTAGTAACAACCGTAGCCGGCCGGGCCGAGCACTTCGGCCAGGGTTACACATTGATCGTTCAATCGACCCAGGTAGGCGGGGCCCCGCCGCTTGTCGGGCTTGCGGGTGGTGAAGCTGGCGATGCCGGCTCGCGGCGGATAGAGACCCGTCATCAGCGAGGCTCGACTCGGGCAACAGCGGGCCGAGTTATAGAACGATTCGA